TACATTAAATAATCAATTAGTACAATGAACAACTGGTCATCCAGTTATGTTTTCAGCTTGGTCTAATATGTGTACAGCCTTTTAAAACAGTTCTCTCCTTTTGCCACTTTAGAAGACAACAAATGCAAACAATTTTCATACAAGCCCAGAAGAACACACACATTACATTTACTTTAAAAATTTCAAAAATTAGTCAAATGGGTGAAGTGGAAGTCTTAAAGCAGGAAGAAAGAAAACCCAGCTTGTGGAATTTTTGCAGCCAACAGTTATTTTCTAAGGATTTCTATTCTGCTGAATTTGCTGCATAAATTCTCAAGCATTATAGGCTCAAGGAAGTTTTTATTTCAACTCTATACATTTTTCTCATCTTTGCTAAAAAGCAAAAGCCCAGAGAACACTTGTAGGCTTCATTTTGAGTTTTAATTGCACACTGCTTTTAGCTTTAACTTCAGCGAATTATTTTACTGCTAAAAAGACAGCTTCCCCTTGAGGTAAATAGATGTATTAATTGTAAACTGCAATAGCAGCAGCATCAGTAAAACCACATAAAAAGTGTTTCCTGACATAAAAGGGTACAATCACTGCTGCTTTATTCTTTTCTACAGAGTTTGCATGGGGCTCCATCACAAGACCTGGTGAAATGAATGACAGGAAGCAGTTTCTTTTGCATTCATTTCCACATGAAGCTTTGCTTCTCCTTGTTCAAGGATACATGCAGTATCTGGGGCAAAATGTATTGATTTTTTAAACCCTGAACTTTTTTTTAAAAAATGTGGCACTTTTACAGTTCAATCTGTTTCCCCATAGTTTCTATCTTGAATGACTATGGACCTCTTCCCTCACCTGCAGTCCTGTGGAAATCACATTCTTGTGGCTTGAACCTTTGTGGTTTTAAGCTGGCCAGATCCACAGGATCACTCACATGCAGGTGGTCATATTATTCACCAGATCCCACAGCGATGTGGAATCCTACGGGAAGATAGATCCCCCTTGGCAGCAGGAAGTCTTAATCACATTTACTGCTGAAATCCATCTTTCAAAACTACATCTTTTCACTGGGACAGGAAGCGAATGGTCCCAAATGTGCCTGTGGGTCAAAGCTAAAGTAGCATATAGCTACATAACCATCTTACTACTATTTTGGAAAATGTGGGGAAGCAGCTATGGGATCTGTATTAAGCAGAGGGAGGAATTGCTGAACCCTGTCTCACTCCAGCCCATTTCTTTAATTCAGGACTGCTTCTCTCAACTGCTTTTCAAAATATCTTTTTGCTGTGTGGGTAGAAAAGTGGTGATAGAGGGAAGCAGAAAACTGCTTGAAGGTCAAAGCTCAAGAAGGACTTCTCCTCTGCAGCTCTTTTCTTTTTCAAAAAGATGTTTACACACAGTTGCCATGCAATGTCTAGCAATGGCCTTTTTTTAAATGGCAAGGCTCTTAAGTTTCTGAAGCTACACAACTGTGTTTCCAGGTCTGGTTGCTAAGGAAGGCCTACTGCCTGTGCTCACTTCTACTTCTGGTCCTGCTGCAGACCAGCCACAATGGCATGCAGCCAGAGGGATAAAAGAATGCTCACAGTTCAACAGCCTAGAAGATACTGCAGCACAAACAAGGAAAATAAAAAAGAGACTGCCAAAAAACAAACCCAAAAAACCCCACTCCTTTAATTTTGGTGATCAAAGACTATTTATGGCCCATAGTCTTTTCACTTTGGTTCTTTGCTTTAGTACCTGAATCTAAAAAAGCATAAAGAACCCTCCAGCATGAAAACCATTCAATGGAAATAAGAAGCTATTCCATGTAGCCACATGTTAGGCCATTTGGTATCTTCACTGCAAACAATAGCTGTCATATACAACATTTCTCCAATAAAGAGAGCACAGCGATGCTCAGAAAACTAATTTGTGAGAATTCTCAGAGATATGTTAGCAATGATTTTAAAAATCCATCTGTTTTAATGACAAGGTTGAACCCATACAATCAGAAATGTGTCATCTAACGTTTTTAAAAAACAGAGGGCAGTATCTAACGTTTGTCATTCTCAGAGCAGACCCACTGGACTCAATGGACTGATCAATCTATTGATTTCAATTAGTTCTGGATTGTGTCACAAATGCTATTTCCCCCAAATTGTTATTAAAAAAAGGTGTGTAACATTTTTAAGCACAATAGAGGAACTAGATAAATGTGAAATTGAGCAATTCAAGATGAAAGAAATATTTTTAACACCCATCTACCTTATTTTTCTCCAAATGAGTTTTCATGGCCAAGGCAACTTAAACACCGTAATTTTTAAAATGATATCCAAAGTGATTTCGAAAATTAAAAAAATGAACTTCAATTACTCATTTGCAACTGTGGGATCTTGTATCTTAGCTTAGATCGGGCTGCCCCAACCTTGTGCCTTCCAGGCATTGTTGGACCATGCTGGCCCTGCTGACTGGGGGGGGTGATGGGAGTTGTAGTCCAGAAAATCAGGTGAACAGCAGGTTGGGGAAGGCAGATTTAGATAATTCCACCAGCCTATTTCGTTTTATAACATAAAAAGAATAAACCAAATGCAAAATCCTAATGCATTAAATGAGTTCCCAAGGAATACAGTAGTATCTTCAATTAGTGAGCCAACTCATTTTAATTATAGAAACCTACCTGACACTTTGCAATAGAACTCCATACATTAGGAGAACATATCACTCTATACACATTCTGTAATTTTTTTCTAATTAAAATGCAATAGTTAATTTGCCTCCCCAATTAAAGCTTTTTAAGAATCTGTGGCCACAGATTTTTTTCAAGTAAAGGATGGGCATGATTCAACCAAAATTAAGCATTTGTAAGCTCCATTGTTTTCAGTGGGAGAGAAGCAAGCTTTAATTCTCCATCAATGGGTTTTAAAGTGCTTAATGCTGGCCAGATAGTGTCCAAAATCTGAATATCCAATGCCCTACTACCAAGATATAGGTCCAAGGCCACTGTTTTTGTAATTTGATAGAAACCTTTTCAAATTAAAGCCTCTTCCACACAACAGACTTACTCGTGTATGGGAGAGATCAACCGTTGCACCAGCAGATATGCCTCCCCCCCCCCCCCACATTCCCAGCCCCCAACCTGCTCCAGAGGATCACCCAACCCAGTAGAATGGGGGCGGGCACAAAGGGGTTGTAGGGAAGAGGAGAGGAAGGAGAAATCTCATTTGTGGGATGTCACAATTGGATATCAATTACTCTACATCTTCTATATTCTCAAGTTGACCATAGCAATTATATTTGTAATATTGCCGGGGGGGGGGTAAGTAGATGAACCAAATATTGAAAGGTTTTCCAGACTGAGACCTTATGTGGCACTTAAAACTTTCTCAACACATTATAACAATCTGGAACTCCAGTTAACCCTCAGATGCCCACACAGAACTGAATCAGCAGGGGCTGCGCCACCACTTCAATGTCAGGAAAAGCGCAGCGTGCCCATGCCACTGCCTGCACACTGCTTTCCCCAATTCTACAGTCCGTCCTGTTCTGCTTCTACAGTTATCTGTGCACACACCAGAGCATGTGGACTGGAGCCCAATGGTAGTACTTATAATGAAGCACACAAAGGAACACATTTTCAAACTGCAAATTTTGGGCACAACAATGACCCCCCAAAAATGTGACTCAAGGTTATTATCTCAAATACGCTTAATCTGGAAGAATGTTTTCTTTTGAAACAAAACAAAAAACAGCAAATTCTATGCCCAAGTAACTTGCGTTCAGGAGTAAGGTACCAACAATGGGATAATTAAAGACGACATTTCCATCAGCACCCATGACATTGAGACAGACAATAGTAAACAAATCACCATCAGTACATTTGAAAATGTTCTCCAACGGCACAATCCACCATGAATTTATCTTGTGCAAACCCTCTACACACACACACATGCAATTCAAATCCATTTTGGCTAGGCTTGTGCAGGAGAACGTCGCAATCGACTGTGTTCTTAAAACATTTGGGCTTCAGCTAGACCTGAACTGGACTGTAACTGCTGATTTATACGCACATAATAATAATAAAAAAAGAGAGAAGCAGCCTGAATTGTAAAGCAGATAAAAATCAACACACATAAAAGTCCCATCTTAGTAAAGGACATTGTCAATCAGAATGCAATTCATTTAAAACTGAGTTGTCACTAGTTTTACCAAGTCAATTTCTTTATAAAATGGCCTCAATATATTTTCAAAATTGAACTATGTCTGTTAAACAGATTATTCACAGGTGTCACATCTGCTGTGTTAGAACATACTTTGCATGACTCAAGTCTCGTTCACCCTTGTTATGCAGGAAGGCCTGCTTATATAGAGCACTTTGCCATGACCATTTTTCCTTATTTCAGATAAAAATAAAATATATATGTAGGAGGAAATTGTCAGGCACATACTTCAGCTGTTACTTTATAAGTCAGAATATCAGACTATTTCTCTTGCAATTTTATACAAAACAATTGCACAGCAACAAATAATCTGGTGTTCTGGCCAACAATGATTTTCACCTATAAGTCATTTCATTGTACATAATTTCACATTGATACCTCTTTAATATTTAAATATTTACGTAAAAAAAGGCCCCCAAACTAATCATTTTGTATATAGCCAAGTTCTCCCTCTATATATCCAAACTTCAAAAAGTTACGAATGGAAACATTATACAGGATTTATAAATCAGGATTAAAAACTTGAGGCTTCAAAATCAGGTTAGCCCAAAAGGACGTTTAGGAAAATCCACTCACTGACAAGGTAGCAGAAAAAAACTAAGAGAGGGGAAAAGGAGACAGACACCAATTTTCTGCCTTAACATTTTACTAATCCTGCCAGTTAAAGACGCTGATATTATCAGAAGAAACAGCATAAGCTGAGAGTGAATAAAGATGTTTTTAATGTTGGTCCCAAGTGATGAGACATGTGATTCAAGTATTTCCTATTTGATCTGAGCTCACCATAGCAAAGTGGTGCAAGAAAAAAAACCATTATTTTATTTTTGTTCCATACATTCGATTAATATCTTCCTGGTAGTGTGCAGTAAGCTCTTTCCGTTTTAGTTTGAAGGCATCTGTCACCAAGCCCGTCTCTGGGGTCCAAGGTTCAGGGCTCAAACGAATTTTGAGTGGGATTTCAAATTTCTCCAGATTAGCTACAATAACAGAGAGAGAAAAAACATCCAATTATACAGTGGATTACAAAGAGGACAGCACAGAGCTGGGAAAGGTGCAGAAAAAGGTCAACCAAAACGATCAAGGAACTGCAGCATCACCCCCTCTGAGGAAAGGCGAAAACATTTTGGGTGTTTAGCTTAGAAAAATGGGAATCACAGAGGTTTTGAAAAACAGGTATGGGGTGCAGAAAGAAAGCAAGTTCTTCCCGCTTTGACAATACTGTACTAAAGTTGGTGTCATCCAATGAAAGAAATGGGCAGCAAATTCAAGGCAGACAAATGAGGTATTTTACACAATGAATCATTAATTTGTGGAATCCCATGCAATGAGATGTGGTGATGAACATGAGCTTAGAGGTCTTCAACAGAAGATTAGTCACATTCATGGAAGATGAGTATGTGAATGGGGAATATGAACAGCAACAGCAGGGAAGAGCTGTTGCCTTAATGCCTTGGTTGTGAACTTCCTGGAAGCATGTGGTTGGCTAGTGTGGGAAACAGGATGTGGGAAAGCAGATGAAGCTCTTCTGTAATTTTTAATTGTTGCTTTTTAAGCAATTCCTCAACAACTAGTGGTGATGAAAACGAATCTAATCTTTTCAAGAAGATCCTATCACTTTTCTGATACCTTTCTTTAATTAACAGTTATTCTGCATTTTACTTTGCAACTTTGCTTACCTATGTGAGCAGCTTCAGCTATAATCTTCTGTGCTTCTTTTTCCATTTCAGGACTGTTACATATCTCCTCCACAGTTCCTTTAAATCCTTTCTTTCGTGCTAACTCTTTAAGTTCTTTATGGTTTGGCACAACAAATCCAATGACGTAAGACTGGAAACTAAAAAGAGAGAGTGAGAGAGATGCACACCATTTCAGACTGATGTTTATATTTCTTCTTGGCTTTATGCAACTTTTCGTATTTTACTATACAGTGGTACCTCAGGTTACGTACGCTTAAAGTTACATACACTTCAGGTTACAGACTCCGCTAACCCAGAAATAGTGCTTCAGGTTAAGAACTTTGCTTCAGGATAAGAACAGGAATCGTGCTACGGCGGCGCGGCGGCAGCAGGAGGCCCCATTAGCTAAAGTGGTGCTTCAGGTTAAGAACAGTTTCAGGTTAAGAACGGACCTCCGGAACGAATTAAGTACTTAACCCGAGGTACCACTGTACATGGATCACATTTTTTCCTAAACTTATGCCCAAGTATAGAGTGGAGCACATGTTACTTTTGCCAAAGAGTTACTATTGCAGCGTGCACCCCATGGCAAGTTTGCACTGTAAAGCCATCGTATCAGACTTGCTCAGACATAAAACCAAAACCATGGTTTGACATTACAGGAACAAACCTTTAAAGACCCTCAGCAACAGAGCCCCTGGGAAACCAAAGGAGCAGGAAATACTTTTTTTCAGGCAAAGAGACAATTGTTAAATCTTAAAAGGGCAAAGGGGACCCCTGACCATTAGGTCCAGTCGTGACCGACTCTGGGGTTGCGGCGCTCATCTCGCTTTATTGGCCAAGGGAGTCGACGTACAGCTTCCGGGTCATGTGGCCAGCATGACTAAGCCGCTTCTGGCGAACCAGAGCAGTGCACGGAAACGCCATTTACCTTCCCACCGGAGCGGTATCTATCTATCTACTTGCACTTTGAGGTGCTTTCGAACTGCTAGGTTGGCAGGATGTTAAATCTTACTGATTAGTTAAATCTTGTTTGTTAAGTGTCAGTAGGAGTTGATGGGGAACAATGAAGATTTGCAATTGCACTTTCCACAGGACGAACTAGATTAAAATGAACAAAAACAAAACACCTCTGTCAGGCAAAAAGCTATTTCCTACTCTTTTCATTTGCCTGGTACCCTTCCTCCTTCCTAGGAGATCAGGGAAAGGCAATGGGTGAGCCTGGGCTTGAAGACACTCCATTTCTCCTTGCCCGACAGGACAAGATGTGGGAAGGAGAGCTTCAGGATTCCAGTATCTGCTTCCAGTGTGAACAGCTGTAACATGTAGCCAAGATCTAAGCTTATGGGAGTTCTGTAAACCAATTCAGCAGTTGGTCTTGGGACAAAAACCTATTAGCAGTTCCCTTCAAAGACAATTAAATATGGATGTTTTTGGACAGTAACTCACAGCTAGCTTTAATTTTTCTTCTTCTTTGCCATTGATTCACCAGCTGGTGATGAATGGATCAGAAGGAATTTATTCTCCTATCAAGTCTATGCAAATTCAAAAGGGCATGTGATAACTTTTCAGCTAAAAGCATATAAAAGTTTCTAGATGCAAACACTGCTCTAGCACAAACACAAGATTACATGGGCTGTCTTACCTGCTCGCATATACACAAATATTATCTATCAGTGGAAGATTCTTCAAAGCAGCTTCAACTTTACCGAGAGAAACATATTCTCCCGCTTGAAGTTTTACAAGATCTTTTTTCCGATCTATAAAAAGGAGAAATAAAATTAATGTGATATTCATTAAAAGTTCAGAATACATTAAACACAGGTGTACAGGAGGAGACTCACTGCAGACGTGGAGTTTCTTTTATTTTTATTTACTTAACGGATTTCTATTCTGCCTTTTGTGAACCACACTCCACAAAGCAGCTCACAAAGATATACAAAACCATCCAAATCCTATACAATATGAAACCATTTAAGATATCCATTTCCTAACACCAAAAGCCTAATCATCAATATAATAGTAAAAACTAAAATACAGTAATGAAGCGAAGGTCTTCAGGACCAGCTTCACAGAATTCCATAATCACTCCCTCTTCAGGGAAATCTGAGATTTAATTATCTAGACTGGATTTCTGTGGCTAACTTCTGCTAATGTGCTTAGCCCTTCAACAGATCAATCATGGGCTGGACTTTTTAAAAAAATGATCTTGCATTAAACCTTTTGTCTAGTGACTTCATAAAGTCCCACAACATGCATTTAAATCTTGAACATGCTCATATAAATCATAGAAAAACCATGTTCATGGCATGAAATGGTATTACTGCAATAGTCTAGCTCAGTCAAATATTACAGGATTAACTCACCAATAATTTTTAGACAACCATCTGCCTGGAATTCCCCAATGTCACCAGTGTAGAGCCACCTCTGTCCATTCTCATCCACCATGAAATCACTTTGGGTTCGTTCTTCATTTTTGTAGTAGCCCATAGTTATGTTCTGACCTCCAATAACAATCTCACCTCTAGGATATGGTTTGTCTGTGTTAAAGTATCCACCTATAATATAAATTCCATGAAGGGGGGGTTTTAATGTGTAAATATTTACCGTATATTTTTAAAATACGGAGTAGCCACATTCCAAAATATGTTATGCTATGTTTCAAGGCAACATAAACTTGAAAACCGTAAGCAATAATACCTCAGAATGTTACAATGCCCAAACCACTGAGGATGTGCAGAGGAAGAGAACTTTGGGTGGAATTCACTGTTGCACTGTGATGAATGTTCCAACAGCTCAAGTATTACAGCTTGCCAGATAGAACAATCCCCCTTTCCTCCCTTGTGTGCTGTTCTGGGGTGTCTCCTGACCCCAGACAAGCCAATTTCAGGGAGCACAGGATGCGAATGAATCAATTTGAACTTCAAAAGCTGTCTAGAGATGAAATTAGTTGATTGTACAGCTTATTTAGATAACAGATGAAATGAGACGCCACTTCACACACACTTAGCAAAATGGAAAAGGATATATGATGCAATGGGGCAAAACATGTGCTCTTCCAATATGCAGATTACGTTTCTCAACACAGAGGTTAGTATGTGCAGTGGCCCTGAAAGCAATGCCTAAGAACAAGATTTTGAGCCCAAGTCTTCCACATCTGAATCCAAACAATTCACTCTAACACACAGCTGCTAGGGTGCCAGTTTTATAGACCTAGTTGTCTACATTTATCTCATTAACAATGACTCACAGTTTCCATCATGAGGCTCAAAGTAAGCGGGGAAACAAATCAAATGCAGTTTACACTGAACTTTAGTGAATCCAGCATTTTGAAGCATTGCAAGTCCTTGTGTATGTTTCTCTTCATTAATATTTCTTTATCTAGCAGACTTTATAATATAATTTAAAAGAGAAACAAAAATATATAGTGCTTGGATTATTTCTCCAGGCTGCTGAAAATAGAACAAATACGCTGAAAATATTGCTGATCTTCTTGCCCTTTCTTTTAAGAATATTTATTCCAACATTTCTGTGCACAACACGACAGGTGATTTATTGAAAAACTGACACAAGATGTTCAGCTAGAAAACCAATGTATCATTTCTTCCCAGCATGAATTCAGGATTCCTATTTCTTATGGAATGCATCCATACTCATTTGCCTTCCATAAGTTGCAACTGGTGGAAACCACAGGAGAGAAGAGTCCTCTGGTGCTCAGGTCCTGCTTATGAGTTTGGCATGTATGGCTGGTTGGACACCATGAGAACAGGATGTTGGAGTAGATGTTCCTAGGTTCTTATGTTCCTAGGTTGACATTTCTCTTGTCTGAAAGATGGGAAATAAGAGCTCCAAAAACCCCTTGTGCCTATAACCTACACAGGGCAGACAGGGGAAGACTAGCAGTATCTAGCTATAAAAATATATTTAAAAAATAAGAAAAAATTGTCCAGCAGCACCTTAGAGACCAACTAAGAAGTGTGCATACACAAGAAAGCTTATACCAAGCACAAACTTAGTTGGTCTCTAAGGTGCTACTGGACAATTTTTTATTTATATATATATATTTCTTCTGCATCAGACCAACACGGCTACCTACCAGTATCTAGCTATGTGTGGGCTATTTAAGGGGGAATTCTATGGAGACTTAAAACACTTCACACCTGGGAGAGAGGCAGCAGTACGATATTGTGCAGAATAGCAAGAGATCATAAGTTTCCAGTCTTAGGAAATGTAATTAGAGACAGGGAAAAAGGATTGTGTTTAACCCTTTGTTCTTTTTGCTCAATGAATTGACTAAGCTGTCTCTCCACCGACTACTACTTTTTGAGAAGACACAAACAAAACCTTGTGCTAATTGATAAAGTGCACCTTGCGGGAGGGGGGGAAGGTTTAAAGGGAAGGGTGAGCTGAGCAAAGGGGTTTTAGCTCTCTTTCCTCAGATGGCATGGAACGCAGATCATGGGTGATATTCAGCTGGCAGTGACGCTGGAGGAAAACAAGCAACCTGCCTCTTGACCTCAAGCTTTTCACCATGGAACATAAGGCATGGAAGAATGTGTGGCAGAGAGGACCTGCATTTGGGGTACTATGCGCCTAACACATGTCCTCCCAAGCCGAATTTTCTCTCTCAGAGACGTCGCTGTTTCCTCCCCTCCACCTGTTGCTAAGAGTTTCAGTGGGCTGCTTCACAGTCTTGGAAATAGTCAAAGGAAAAGGATCATTAAATGCAGGGCTACATCTTCAACCCAAATCAGGTGCCACTGGCTGTTTTTAAAGCTAATGCGGGGGAAATATCATCATGGGAAAGCTGATAAATGATCTCTGATGTTAGGACTAATTCTGCTCTCATAGGTAGTTTATGAAACATCAGAGGGAGTTGCTTTTAGTCCAGCCACCAGCAAGCCAGCCTTTGGAAGCATGTTAATAAAGAGCTCACTGGATCACTGCCACAGTATTCGATTTAAACAAAATGTTTCAGTCTGTCTTCAAACAAAAGGATAATAATCACACATTGAATAAAGAACTTCCCACCTTCTACCCAATTCATGAGCTTGATTTCACAGCAAACCAAGGGTGCGCCCACTCTGCCTGTGGCATAGTCCCAAACTGAAATTTTGGAAAATAAAACATCATTAGGAACTCAAGAAGTACAGCTTAGAAACCATCAAAGTATTTCTTTGAATACCTCATGCACCATTTGTTTTTATTTATTTAATAGAATTTGTATACCGCTTAAATCATAAAAACCTCTAAACTAGACATTAATAATTATCAAGAAAAGTCAGGTGTAAAAACAAGCTGACCTAAAAGACTGACAAATCAGCAGTTAAAAATGCATTATTATAGAAGAAAATTCCATATTAAAATACATGTCAACTTTACAGAGATTTTGGAGTAAAGTACTATGACTTTACTGGTAACACCTAACTAAAGCTCTACACCTGGATTGGCAACTCAACCTAAACCCGCCACTTACCTTCTGTTATCGTTCCAGCCCCAGAGGATTCTGTTAGTCCATAGCCCTGTCCCACTGGGCAACAGAAACAGATGTTCATGAATCTCTGAGTTGCTGCAGAAAGTGGAGCTCCTCCACACAACAAGACCCGAATCTTCCCACCCAGCAGCATCCGGACTTTCCGGAAAATAAGTCTAAAAAGGTTGAGAGTATGTTTTTATTGCTCAATAAAAATAATATAATAAAGAAGACACGGAAATCACTGCACATAGAAAGTTCTGCAACATATATGGCACAATTTATGTGGAAACTGTTCGATTTTGTATACTTTTTGATGTGTTTTGCTTATTATTTATAACTACTCCTGTAGTTAGCCACTTTGAGCATGGTTTTTCTATGGAAAGGGATCATATTTTTAAAAAATGATGTATTCTATGCATGCTTATGGAGAAGCAAGTCCCACTGATTTTAATGGGAATTACCGTACTTCCTAGAGAGTGTGTGTAAGTTTATAAACAAAGGCAGATGAGAGGGAATACAGACCGGGCAATACAGACGAGGCAACTGAGTAATATAAATGTTTTTTTCTTTCTTTTAAATACCTTATTATTTTTACTGTTTAAATTTGCATGCTGCTTTCCCACAGAAATATGCCCAAAGACACTCAGAAAACAACGGCAATACTCTTCAATTTATTTCCAGGCTCAATTCAAAGTACTGGTTTTGATCATTAATTAAGGTACCTATCCTCCCATCCAGACTACCAGATTTGTGTATTGCTACCTAGCCCTGTCTTCTAATAGCCAGCAAAGTGTCCTGGTTCCGTGACAGATTCAGCCATGCAGGCCGCTCTTCATCCGTCCATCTCCCCAAGTAAAATCTTCACCCCTTAAGGGGAAAAACACGCACACCACTCCATCAGTTACCTACCTGTCACACAATGGAGTAGTGTAGCCTTTTGAAATCTGTTCCATCTTGTAATTATAAGCCAATATAAACAGATTACGTTGGAAATTGGACATTTCGTTAACTCGATTCATGACATTTTTGTAGATTCGATCCATGATTTCCTAGATACAGAAATGAATTAGGCATATCAAAGCAAGCCAACAACAGGCGATACATTTCGATTTACTGCACAGGTCTCTGAGGGTATTAGTATTAGAGAACATTAGAGGGGGCAGGCCAAATTTGACAGGTGGGCTTTGGTTTTCAGGAGTTCAAAGAGCAGTGTAGGGCTGCTTGAAAGCCCTTTGCAAACATCCCCACGTAGCTCCTGAAACCTCCTAAAACAGGGCCATAAGGAACAGTGCCGTGCTGTTTACAAAGGGCTGTTTAAAAGCCCTTTCCCTAACCATTCTGCACTGCTTCCAAAGTCTTCAGAGGTTTGAGGAGCAGCACAGAGGTTTTAAAGAGCAGTGTAGGACTGTTTGGGAAAGGGCTTTCAAACAGTACAACACTTTAACCGCCAGCTTTTGGAGGTTCAAAGAGCAGCACTGGGAGAGAGAAGAAGTTTCAACTGAATGGAAACAGCTTCCCCCTCCTTCAGCAAGGTGTGCTCTCACCAGAGCTCACTTTAAGCTCCCAACTGTTCCTCTGAAGCCCCATCCTTACCAACATCATGGACAATTTCAGGTCTAGAGGTCTAGAGTGGGTGGACATGGCTTCCTAAAAAATGGCCTGGCGGGACAAATGGGGAGGCCTGGCATGTCAAGTTTTGCCTGTGGGCCAGCAGTTCCCCGCCCTTGATACACAGCATGAACTATAACAGAAAGCTTGGCATAAAACAACTTCAAACGTTAACTGTTTTCCCCTCAAATCTATCTGCTCATACTACTTTTTGAGGGGCTGCACTGAGGAGGCGAGAGGAGGAAAATAAGCTTTATTCCACTTGTGATTGTCAGGAAACATGTCATAGTAAATATTAATACTATGTTTTAAGCAACTTATTAATAATATAAATTGGCAGGATTAGTTTTATCATTGTTGTTGATTGAAAACATGAATTCACCCAACCATGTGGATATTTCAGGGAAGTTCCAGAAGCAGGAGGCATTTAGTGACGCAACTACAAACCTGTCATGAGATCCCGCATATTATTCCCATGCACAGTCCCATAGTGGAATGAAGGATTACATGGGAACCGCTTAAGCAGGCAATAGAGAAATTCCTAAGGTACTACCTTCAAATCATCATCTCATCGTATGTAACTCTTGAAAAAGGCAGGCTTCAAATGCACAACTTACCGGCACAGCTGCCATTAGAGTTGGCTTCAGTGCAGAAACATCACCTTTACTTCCTTTCTTTATTTTAGAGGACTAAAAGAGAAGTGAATAAAGCAACATGTAACCTTAAGTTAGTCTTCATCAAAAATCCTCTTGTTTGCTCGGCGTAAAAGATGCACACGCTGAAAAGAAATCATGTTTCACCATAGCGCTGGGTCAGAAAGCATCTACGACATATTTTCGTCAGAGATATTGAAACAGGGTACTTAAGAGGGTATCTCTTAAGTAGACAAATACTTAATTTCACATATATTTTAGACAAGTTTAAAAATGCATAATTTGATACTGTGATCCAAGGTTGTTTTCAGTGGGTAGTTGGACACAAAATGTTGTGTGTACAGTTGGAGAGTGGATGATGCAGATTTTGAAAAAAAGGGGGGGGATTAGTCACGTTATGCTTGTGTGTTTATTAAGCACTTACATGCCAGGCAGTATCAGGGCAGAACGTGCACAAATTATAAGGGTAAAATGCACTCAGTTTACATGCTTAAAACAAATTGCCCAAATAATACAAAGAACTTTCTTTTAGGACAGAAACACCACTTCTTTACCTTCATCTTTGGGCAGGCAACCCTTCCTTGTAAATACCCTTAAAGTGCTTTTTTTGTTTCCGCTGAACTAAGGCAGATTCATAAATGAATCATTGCTGCATAGTAGATCAGAACTACTGACTCCCATGAAGAAGCCGCCATTGATACAAGGTCTAAGCAAAGCAGACTGTGTGCTTGTTCAGCTTTCTCTCCTTTTAGTGTGGGGTGTCAGATGGGGAATTTGTGTAGTAGAAAAACGTGCTTTTAAAAACCGTGCTATGGTCTGATTTGATTGGAAGTGGGAGACCCTTACCTGATCACTTAATGTTTGAGGTGATGAGTAGCCAATACGGCATCCGTGAGTCAAGCAAACAAGTTCAGCACTTAACTCCAAAACATGAGCAAGTGGCAAGTATCCAATGTATGTATCTTTCTCTCTAAGGGAATAAGAGAGAGATTACGATAAACTCTGTGCCAAGTTGTGTCAATCCACTGCTTGAGACTGCAGCAGCATTATAATCTAAAGAGCATCCTGGCACAACAACTTTGCAATGCTGGCATATTGTCATATTTAAACAAGAGCAGGCTGAATTATACGTTCTCCTCATGCATGTGGTAAAGCATTCTGGCAGCACGATTTACCAGAAGTAAGACTACTAACCATTCTTCTTCTTAAATCAGTCAGAACATTTCATCTCCATACTTAATTAACATAAAATGCAGCACCAATGCGGGGGGGGGGGGGACCTCTGGTCCACAAAGTCTCCCCATTTGGCCTGTGAGGCAGTTTTGGCCAAATCACACACTCATCTGCCCTAGGCCCAAGTCATAGGACATCAGTTGTCGGGGAAGGTAAATACAGGGCTAAGCCAAAAGGGAGGTTGCAGGCACTGGTGCTGTGACTTTTCTGGCGTGGCTTCATTTCAAAATCTGCTTGGCCAAAAACAGGTCACTTGATGTTACTGCAATTTCAGGTATTGGCAAGTAGACGCCCCCACCCATTTGCCCACGGATGGGTGTCTCTGCAGTATATTTAAGCTTCAACCATCAAAGGGTAAACAAAGCTACAGGAAAGCCCTTGTTCCAAATAGCTTTGAGGTTTCAATAAACATGTTTGTCTTTGCAAAATACAATCACACTAGTGCAAAAAGGTCTGGGGTTTTTTGTGATTTATCATTCCTGACAATCTATTTGTACTGAAAATGGTATTCTTGCCAGACTTCCAAAACAGTCGCAGAACTTCTCTTTTCTGAATATCCAGTACTAAAGAACATAAACCAGAACAATTCGACCACATATATTCCAACATTTTAGGTGAGCATGAAGAGTTCTTACAGTAGGGGTTCTTTTTGTGCAACAGAAGTTTAATTAAAGCCAGCATTGTACTATATTTCTCTAAGGACGTTAACAACATATACACTAATGTGTTCATTTCAATAATTTTAGTGATAAAGCGATAAAAGCGTCATTTAGGATTACGTGTGTTACATACCCAAGATTAGGAATCCTTTCAGCCATCCCAGTTATACCAGAAATAAGATTACAATGCGAGATCATAACGCCTTTTGGGACACCTGTAGAACCACTGGTATACATTATTACTGCAATGTCCGACGGCAACGGTCTCTGCTTCTGCTTGTTGGCTGGAACTTAAACAAAAAAGAAGCAAGCGTCAAAACAATTTGAAAGAAAGCAAAATTGAAAGATTCTGAAAATCTAAAATACTGACTACTAAGTTATTCTTGTTGTAAACCTTAATGTGTTCTACATTTTTATATGTCACCATTTTAAGCCAATGAGTGAAGTCAGGGCTGTGACTGATAAGTGGTTTCTCTGGACACTAGGGAACAGGAACCCTGAGAGTCCTAAAGTGCTGCTGTTTCCCGCTACCCTACAATACATTTTTCCTGCTTCCATCTTATTTTCTAGTAGTCCCTGGAATCTTCATTTGCCCTTCCTGTTTTACTAGCAACCAGGATGCATCTTTCCACTGGTAGGTTCACCTGATATCAGGTATTCCTTAGAAGTTATTTTCTTAAAAAAATACTGCTACACAAACTCTGTATCCTGATTAAACAAACATACGCTAAAAATAATAAGTTATCAACACAACACCCATCCACCATATACCCTGGGCAGAATATAACTGGCAAGATATTAACCACATTTAGCATTATCATGTCTTAGATTTCCTTCACTTTTTTCAAGAAAATACTATCATTAGGAAAAAGGACAAGGTATACGTACAGTTTTCTGTTTTCTCTCCCATAGCTTGAACAGATGCCATCGTGTGAACGATTACCCCTTTGGGGAATTCTGACCATGTTGTTGGTGTGCCATCCACAGTAATAATATGGCGCATCAGAGGAATCTGAGAAGCAATACTCTGCAGAAAAAGATGGGGCAAACAGTTTAACTGTTTCCATCATAATAATCATAATGCCCTACATTTGCAGTTCTATACTTTAATAGTTCAACCTGCTGTAAATAGAGCGCATTCAAAAAAGCTAATTTGATGTCATCTAAGCTGCTAGGTGGGGACGCAGGTGGCGCTGTGGGTTAAACCACAGAGCCTAGGGCTTGCCGATCAGAAGGTCGGCAGTTCGAATCCCCGTGACGGGGTGAGCTCCCGTTGCTCGGTCCCTGCTCCTGCCAACCTAGCAGTTCGAAAGCACGTCAAAGTGCAAGTAGATAAATAGATACCGCTCTGGAGGAAAGGTAAACGGCGTTTCTGTGCGCTGCTCTGGTTCGCCAGAAGCGGCTTAGTCATGCTGGCCACATGACCCGGAAGCTGTACGCTGGCTCCCTCGGCCAATAAAGCGAGATGAGCGCCGCAACCCCAGAGTCAGTCACGACTGGACCTAATGGTCAGGGGTCCCTTTACCCTTTACCTTTAGCTGCTAACAGTGCTAATATATTTTTAAGGTATATTCTTTCAGTCGTAACTTGTTTTAACCCTATTCTTTTGGTTGCAAATTGTTTTAACCAATTTTAAGATTTAATTTTCACATTTTAACTATTCCTGGAACCTTATGGTAAAGGGTGGGTAAAAAGAGGGCAAGTTGATTAATTACTATTTACTACCACAACCAGCCAGTTGTGAAATTTCAATATGTTTGGAATAAACAGTATCAATGTTATTTATAACAATTCTTGCTGACACTAAAAACGGTGTGCATTAAAGTTCTAATGATGAACTTAAAAAGGCACGGCTTTTCTCAGCTGCCCATTTCGCTTGTCATTTCCCCTCAGAATTCTTCTCCATATATCCTTTCTTCTTCTTCTTCTTCTTCTTCTTCTTCTTCTTCTTCTTCTTCCTCTTCTTCTGTCCACTCCTTCCTCTAGCCATCTTATCTTTTGGTTCCCTGGCTCTGCTGCTACAAATACTTTTAGTGAATTATAATATAGATTACACTTGGAGACATATGGTCCCCAAAGTGCTTTTATGGTTACACTGTGAGTCAAGATGTTGGCCTATGAAGCCAATGCTCAAAAACAGGATATTTAACAAACCCTTTTATGGAAAGAAACTTCAGATCTGCGATGATTTTTCCATGCTTCGTTCAATTAAAAGCAAATAGAGAGCAACCCATCACGTCTTGACAAGTTTGCTGGCTCTCCCCCCCCCCCCCCCCGGCAAATCTTGTTAAAATTGTTTAGGCTGTATTACTGGCTAACTGATGTACACAGCTTTTTACAATATAAGATCAAACCACGGCAGCTAGATTACAAATTCAGAAGCACACAAACCCCACCCTCCACCTGAGCTGCACCTCCTGACTTGCTTTGGGGACAGATCCAGGACAGGGTGGTAGGTTCCCAGGTTGCTACAAGCAGGGCAGATTGGCTTGATCCAGGGCAAAGAGGCCACAAATGGAAGATATGGGGCAGCATAGCCCTACTAAGGGTAGGATATAAATAAATATAACAACAACTACTACTACCACAATACTAGGATATGAAACATTTATACATAGCACACCGTCCATGTACATGACACTTTGCAAGAATGAAAAATTGCCCACATACCCTGAAGTGTGTGTCAGTGTCAGAGGACTATCTAGTACAGTGGTACCTCTAGTTGCGTTCACCTCTGGTTACGTATCCTTCAGAAACAGACTCCTTTGGGATGCATACACGGCAAACTCAGACGTATTCTTCCAGGTTTTGCCGTGCGCATGCACAGAAACACTAAACTGCACCACGCGCATGCGCAGGACCTCCAGTTGCGAATTCCTCGGGATGCGGCCGGAGCTCCGGAACGGATCCCGTTCACAACCAGAAGTACCACTGTATTGAGTTAAGCACCATTTTGGGGGTGGGGATCACAGTCCTTTTTTAAATGGAAACTATAGGTGCATCCAAATCATTTACACTTCCATAATTTTCTGTTACATAAGAACATAAATCTGTAGAGCAAGAGAAAAAACCTGCACTATATGTATATCACCTTTTCCTCTACAGAATTGAATAAACAAACAAACAAAATCCACATTTGTATACATGCAACCAATTTGTCTAGTCAAGGACAATCCTTACCTTCAGTTTTGTTTGCATCAATTCTCTGCTGGTAATAATGGTCGTCACTGCAGTTTCATTTAACCCATGTACTATCGCAGGGCCTCCTAGAGTGGCATAAAGTGTAACAACTGGGGAGGAAATGAATAATGAATTTCCTATTATTAATTATTATTATTAGACTCATATACTATAAATGTCCAGGATACAAAAGATACACTGCATGCTGAAAATGTCGCAGTACACTGCTGCTTCAAATTCAAGATTTCAAACTTTGAGAAACATAAAATGCAAATGTACTTTGGTTTCACTATGCATATTTGTACTCTGAAGAATTGAGGTCTTATTTTCCAAGCCTCACTAGCAGGATCCCTCTTCTTTTCTTTACAGAAGAGGTCATGTGACTTTTTAGTTCTACACCGCACTCTCAACACAATATGAGAGCACAGAGCACAGAAAGGACTTCCACCTTAGATACTTCCCTCCCATATTATCATCGGATCATAGAACTGTAGAGTTGGAAAGGACCACAAGGGGCATCTAGTCCAACCCCCTGCAATGCAGGAATCTTTTGCCCAATGTGGGACTCGAACCCACGACCCTGAAATTAAGACTCTCACGTTCTACCAACTGAGTTATCCCAGTGAAGTAATATCTTAATGTAATTACTTTAAGACAGGGGTCAGCAAACTAAGGGCCGCAGGCCATATCAGGTCCATTTGCCTTCAAGATCCGGCCTGGGACTGTCCGTGGATCGGCATGGAGATTCTGTTCATTCGGGCTGTGCCGTTTTTTTCCTGTGCCATTCCATCCCCCCCCCCCTTCCTCACACACACCGTGGCGGCGGTGCCTCCCTCCCTCCTCCTGGCTTCTCCCCGCCCTGCCTAGAGGAGGAAGGGAGCTGGGCTGAGCTGGCTGAGCGCCATTTTAAGCAGTCCAGAGCCAGCCCTTTCGCACCACTCATCTTCCACCGTTGCCCTGGTGCTCCTGTGGGCCAGAGAGCAGAGCAGACAAGCTCACTCTGCCTACCCATGAGAAGCAGCAGCGGCAGCTGCTTCTCTGGTCCGCCACAAGATCTGAGGGACAGTGGACCAGCCTGCGGCTAAACATTTTTTGCCAACTCCTGCTTTAAGAGTTAATTCGGGCATACAATTATTCTCCAAACAAACTTGAAAAGCAAGTAACATTGGCCACAATTATATTTAAGTTACAGTGGTACCTCAGGTTACATACGTTTCAGGTTACATACGCTTCAGGTTACAGACTCCGCTAACCCAGAAATAGTACCTTGGGTTAAGTACTTTGCTTCAGGATGATAACAGAAATCGTGCTCCAGTGGCGAGGCGGCAACGGGAGGCCCCATTAGCTAAAGTGGTGCTTCAGGTTAAGAACAGTTTCAGGTTAAGAACAGACCTCCGGAACGAATTAAGTACTTAACCCGAGGTACCACTGTATTGTGATATAGCAAAATTTGGTTTTGCAGTGGCAGAAGGAGTATCTAATATTTGCAGGAATATGGCACTCTGATCACCTGCTTGGGGACTTTGCTTTCAGCTAGTCTCCTCAGCACTGAGAAAACAGATGGTTGCTTTATTACTTTGGCAGGAAAGGACCTCATACATAGCACTCTGTATGCAACTCGCTGCTGTGCACAAGGATCTGGATCAATGCGGGAATTCTACAAATATAAATGGGTTTGCTTTATGGACATCAGAGCTGTGTATATTCGCTGCTCACTTGAAAGCAAGCTCTGCTATAAGATCCTGATTTTTGTGCAAAGTGCTTTAAAAAGCAGCCTCTGCCATTTTTCTGACCCCAACTGTAGCTGTGCTATGTAATGCCAGCCACCTCATCATTCTGGTCCTATGCATGGAGAGTTTCTGTGTCAGTGTCAGCCACTTTCCAGAAGCCATAGCAGTAGCCTGGGAATGAAAGTGTCAGAATGAAAGCCTGGGCTTGGCAGAAGTACGTTAACACAACAAAACGGTTTCCAGTAGTCTCAGCTTAAAGCTATAACATGCACATCAGCTCATACATCTCAGCAAACATGTTTAAGATGTCTATTTATATACATAAACAGCAATTAACCTATACGGTATGGGATTGCAAAGTGCTTTTTAAAAGATATGCACACATATTTGCTGCGAAAGAATTTGCTGTTGCTTGCTTGTGGATTTTGAAGCGTACATTTGCACCTGAAAAACAGCCTTGTATGTTGATAAATCAAAACCATGTAGTGTAATCCTAAACAAAGTTCAACAGGACATTTCATCAGGGAAGTGTGCTGTAGAATTGCAGCCTTATACTCAGATACAAGGTCCTGAAATTGATAGTCCCAGGCATACAATTCAGCTATTAGTTGCAATGCAGTTCTTTGGAGTCACTGGTTACAACAAAAACCATTTTCCTTGATTCAGAAATCTGAATGGTTGCCATGAGGGTATTTAACAAGGAACACAATTCCAAACTGTTGCAAACCAAGTACACATGTACATTGTTTTCTTTAATTTGGTGGGAGCAAAGTACAAAAGATTGCCTTTATTAGTTCCCATGTGCTCTCTGTGCTCAGTCCAATGACCCTCATTATATAAACACAAGATTTCCCTAGCAGGCTCTCAGCAAGCTGAGGAAGAAAGAGTATAATATCTCAAAAAACCATTGATATTATTCACCTAAAAACTGGAGGGAGAAAGGGGAGGGGGGAGATGAACGAAGTGAAAAACAATTAGCCAGTTAATGAAGTCAAGAAGCTTGTCCAGTTTACAAAATGCTGCACTGATGTCATGGAGAAAGAGATGAAGTGAGCCACAGCAGCTGCAAGTGATTATCGTGCAGTCTGATCCACCGAGTTGCCACTTAACACTGTATATAGCACTTCTCTATGCACACATAATATCTGATTAAAAATTATAGTGTTACAAACTGTAAAGTAGAAGCCGCCAGGTGTAGATTTGTTACTTTCTAGCAATGACAAAGCAGAAAAAGCTTTCCAAGACTTGTTATGGAGCTATTTTCAAATATTGCATTTTTCGCTCCATATGACGCACCAGACCATAAGGCGCACCTAGTTTTGGGAGGAGGAAAACAAGAAAAAAAATATTCTGAATCCCAGAAGCCAGAACAGCAAGAGGGATCTGGCTTCTGGGATGGCCTCTGGCTGTTCTGGCTTATGGGATAGCCATGCCAAGCCTCTTCAGGGCAGCGGGATGAAGGCTCCCCCTGCCCGAAGAGGCTGCGAGCGGCTAAGGCAGAAGCCAGGAGAGGCACTGCGCTGAGCAGAGAGCGAGAGCTGCGCAGCGTCCCTTCAGCGAAGTGGGAGGAGGAACAGAAGGAGCCCCTCCTGTTCCTCCTCTGTCTTCGCAGGACAGGCGCGTCGCTCAAGGGGTGCTGCGCAGAGAGAGAGAACTGCGCAGCACCCCTTTAGCGAAGTGGGGAGGAGGAACAGAAGGAGCCCCTCCTGTTCCTCCTCCCGCTTCACTGAAGGGGCACTGCGCAGCTCTCCCTCTCTGCGCAGCACCATTCGCTCCATAAGACACACTCACATTTCCCCTTACTTTTTATGAGGAAAAAAGTGCGTCTTATGGAGCAAAAAATACGGTGCTTAAAGAAATTAATTCTGGGCAGGGGAGGGTGGGGCTAATTTAAGGGACATGCTCTACTGTTTGTCCCATTGGACCGTGAACAGTGTTCATTCACTTATCTCTAAGGAATAAAATATTATCAAGAACAAAAATCAGGGCAGTTTTGGCTAAATATGCACATAAGCTACCAGAACAATCAGGCAGAAAAATCCTTTAAAATAACAGTGAAGTTTAAAATGCAGTTAGTAGATGGAGGGGACATGTGCCACAGAAGAATGAAGATTTAAAAAAATAAGCACAGTTATATCAGGCCTATTCAGGAAGAGCAGTACTTGGCCAAATCTAGATTAGCAAACATATTTCCTTGAAAAATTAAACAAAATTTAATTCGTTGCGTTTCACTGCCTGCAACTCAAGTTTCAGAAACGACTACGTGAAAAGCATATGACAATATTACCATCTGCCAGCAAGCAAGTCAGCCAAGTTCATTCATTTGACATCACCAAATGCTGTGTCACGCTGTGAGCTGAAGCACGTCTCAGAAACTTGAAACATCCACTTAAATCCCCACCATCTCCCTTCCTACCAACCCCCCTTTCAAATGCAAATTTCTTGATTCCACACATTTCAGCATTTCCCTACATTATCACGTTACCTTAAACGGACCCTTTTGAAAGTTAAAAGTTTTATAAAGGTCTTAAGTGGAACTTGCCACAGAATTGCAGTATTTCTGATGGTGCTTTTTATCTATCTATCTATCTATCTATCTGTCTGTCTGTCTGTCTGTCTATCTATCTATCTATCCAGCTTTTGGGTACTTTAATAACTCTCCTTATTTTTTTTAAGGCAAACAGAGGGGGGGGGGGGACTATCCATAATGCTGCCTTCCAGTGTAATTTATTTCTTTGCAGCAGTGTTTTCCACAATGCCCCCTGCAGGCAAGTACTGAGCTAGTTCAGATGTCATGCCAAATTATGAACGATGGCTTTGTGACTATGAGCTTTATTACCACACAACAATTCTGATTACCTCTCTTAGCTCCAAGGTGTCAGCAAACAATAATTTGCAATTTCACCCAAACCTAGGCAAACCATAATTTGTGTATGCCATAGAACCAAAGTAGATATTACTTGTGTTGATACTTAAGTCTCTATTGATTCACAATAAGGATTTGCAAATGTGATGTGGATAGCTGTTGTTTTCAATTATTGAGTGTTTGACAAGGGAGAGAATGCACTGGAAATGCATTATGTACTGTATTTGTGTACAGTATTACAGGGTTACAAGCAGCTATAAAATGGAGTATAGGAGCATTTCCATTACTTTCATAAACATATTCCAAGAGGTCTGAGGATATTGTGCATGCCCCATGTGCTCCACAGATCGCTGGAGGAGGGAACTAAACTCTACATAACTATGACAGGCATGGCCAGGTAAAGGCATACTGGTGAACAAGGTGGTTATGGAGGAGGAACTTACCATGGAACCACAGAGATGAACATGGAGGGAAGGAAGATGCAGAGCAGAAGCAGCCAAGTCAGCTAGTAGTTATCAGATCATATTTGACTCAGCTAGCTTTCTAGTTGTGATTCTGTCTATTAAAATAATTGAGATTCCTAACTGCAGGGGGTTGGATTAGCTGACACTCAGGGTTCCTTGCAACTCCAATATTTGTGATTCATGGAAATCCCATATGCTTGATTGCCAGAATGATTTAATAATCAAGGTGGATGAAGCAAGTCACAGATAGCAGAGAACTGTTGGCTCTGAAACTAAATGCAGAATACGACTGCGAGTGGGTAAAATCCTTTTTTTTTCTAGGAAATGTTTACGGTTATGAGTGTTGAATTTTTTATTGTTGTAAAAGATATCGGATACTGCAATTTTTTATGAGGTGCACTTTTTTATTGTAGTATTGTATGATTTGGTGAGAGCCCTTGGCTACACAATAAAGATGTGAGATTAATGAATAAAAAAGAAGCAAAGATCATCACTCAATCTAGTAGTGAACTAAGCTGCGGAGTGCTGACAGAAATGGTACTCGGAGGGGAAAACATTCATTCGCTGAGGAACAGGGAAAGGCAAAGGTTTAATAAACTACCTTTTTTAAAAACCCTAAAAATAAAGAGCCATAATGAGTCTCTCCCCACTGCCAAAAAAAAGGGGGACTGAGCATGCTCAGTAACCAAGACACACCAAGTATCATTTGGAAAAGAACAACAAAAAATGGAAGATGGGAATGTCAAGCTTGAACTTCCTCTAAGCTTACAATCTCCCTACCATTGGGTTGTTCTTGTCTTTATTTTGATTAAGTATATTTTGTGGTTTTATGTTGTGATTTTATCCTGTGAAACACCCTGAGACCTGTGGGTATAGGGTGTTAGAAGAAGAAGGAGGAGGAGGAGGAGGAGGAGGAGGAAGCAACTACCACTACATAGCCTGTACAATAATGGAAGCTGTGCTAGTTTTTCTTTTATTCCATCGTCTAGAACAGAAGTAGCCATGATACTGGTACTTTCCAGAATTTTGGACTACAACTCTCATCAGCTGCAACCAGCACAGCCAATGATAATTGGGAGTGACAGGAGTCACAGTTCATAACATCAGGAGGGCACAATGTCATTGATTCCTGGTCTAGAAACAATAGCAGGCAGCCCCCCTGTCAGCAGCCACTTCCTGCCACTGGCTTAGCTCCAAAAGCTGCATCTTTACACTGGAGAAGGGGGCTACTGCCCAAGCCTGGACCATGCTCTTGCCAAGCCCTGCAGCTCCAGAAAGTAGCAAAAGTACTACACGCAAAGCTTGTGGAGATTTTGCAAAGATACATGTTACATGTCCAGCTTACATTCAAAGAGATGCTTTCCTTTTATATGGGTGTCAGTTCTATTTTCCTCAGAATATACTGAAGTAATTAGAGCAAAAACTATGAGGGGAGACAGAAGCAGCAAAGCTTCCGTTGAAAGAAAAGCTGTAACAAGCTACTCCCACAGCTATAGAGAAGCTATATATAATAATCTGCCAAGGAAGAATTACCAAATCTGCAAAGTGCTTTTTGCAATTGCTTACAATGGCCTATTATACCAGTCTCAGTTCCTTTTTCTACTTGGGCTTTAAGTGATTTCTCTTTTGAGTTGTAATTTAACATTCTGCAAAACTGTTCTCTGAATGAAACAAATTTCATTCATATACGTTTGCTGTTTTTACCATGAAAGGGTCTTTTAATTGCTCCTACTAACTTTTTGGTGAGAACATACAATACAAATATATAAAAATCGGAAAGAATTGTTCAGTCTTCTACAGACATTGTTCTCTGCCTCTTACCAAGGAAGATGCTTTTATTGGTGTCCTTTAGAATCACAGAATTGTAGAGCTGGAAGAGACCCAAAAGGCCTTTCAGTCCAACCCCCTGCAATGCAGGAATTATAAGTGGAGAATCCCTGACAGATGACCATCCAACCTCTGCTTAAAAACCTGCAATGAAGGAGAGCCTAGTACCTTCCAAGGTAGTCCGTTCCACTGTCAAACAGCTCTTACTGTCACAAAGTTCTTCCTAATGCTCTAGCACTGCTGAAGCACTGCTCTTGCACAAATGAACTGGAATTGGACTTGTAACGATGATTTTCCGGGCTGGAAAGAAGTGTGATGCTTGGAAGAAAACTGCCTGCCCTCCAAAACTGTCACATGTGCTTGGAGGAAACCGAACCTAAGAAAGGCTGTGTGAGAAAGGGAATTTCCCACCCTTCCCAAAGCCAGAAGGTTAACCATCGGCTCATCCTAGGAATTGGTATCTTTGCAATTCCATGGAGATGGCAACCCAAGTCCTAGGAGGAGACAGAGGAAGAATCTTCAAAACAAAACTTAATCATACTAATTTAGGGACAATAGTAGCTGCCCTACACAAGTCATTAAAAGTGTTAGGAAAACCTTCTCAGTGTATCCAAAAGCACACAAAAAAACTGACATTGCCATAAAAAAATGCTTACGTATGAAGTTATTCATGAAGCAAGCTTGGGCAGCGATCATCCACTCTGCTCTAGTTTCACAGAAGATGGCAATGTTCGTCTTCGGTTGAATGCCCAACACAGTTAATCCATCTCCAAATTTTTTCGCTTTATTGAAAACATCATCGTACGAGAGCCACATATATTTTCCAAGGATAACCTTAATAATAAAAAAAAGACTTTTAAAAAAAAATCACAAACAAGCCTAAGCATGCATAACCGCATTTCTATGTACTTGCTTACCTTTGTCTTTCATCTCCATGTTTGTTTTCCTGTCTAACAATATTTAGATTGAAAGGCCCATGAGACGCAGACATGACATTTTGCATAGGTTACTTTCCAAAACTTACCGTGCAAAGTGGTGCTATATGAATAAAAATACAATACAGAAAAGGAAGGGTACGGAACTGTTTCTTATCTCCCTAGTCAAGTGAATGGATTAATTTTGTTATACCAAATACCATATTGGTCTTGAATATAAGCCTCACTTTTTCCCCCAAATTCCGACCGTGAAAAGTGAAAGTGCGGCTTAAATTCGCAACCTTACAAAAATGGGCTTTTACGATATCACTGCTGAAACAGACATACGATGAAACGGAACAAAAAAATGTGTCATTGCCTATTTGAGAGCTTAAGACGGTTCATTTGCCATTTGCGGGTGTGAGTGCCTGCGGAAATGTAGCAATTGAATTGCAATTTGCACTTTTAGCAATTGTACGGTAACTTTTGTGGGCTTGCAAGATCAAAGCCTTAAATTGGCTAAGAGTTACAATTCTACCAACCGCAGCAATTTTCAGCCTGCAACCCAATTTTAAGGGAGTGGCTTATATTCAAGTATTGTCTTTTTTCCTCCCCCCCCCTTTGAATTTTAAAGGTGTGGCTTATTTGCGGGTGTGGCTTATATTCGAGCCCATACGGTATCAGAATTGTATCAATTATCTGTAAGTGCTATTCAAGAAGAATTCAGGTGTTAAACAATCCCAAGCCCCAATCCACCATGCTGGAGAGGATACTGAATAGAGCAGAGGGGTCCTCTACTCAGTGCTGCACGGCTTCTTTGGCCTTCACCATCAGGAAAACTCTGCCAGCCTCCGACATTGGGGAAGGCCTGCTGGTGAGGGGTGCCCCAAAGTGCCCACACAAATGGCAGGTGGAATGTACCAGCGGTAGTAACTCCACCAGAAACCCCCCAGAAGCAGGGCATTTTGGAGTGGGGATGGGATGACAGAAGATCCTATGCAGACTTGCCACCGCCACATGATAGTGACAGGCCCAATCTTAGCATCCATGCTGTACCAGCCAAAGAGATGACCCACAAATGACCCACAAAGGGGCATTCGCCCCTGGACCCCACCTCCTGCCTTGGCTAGCGCAAGTGCGCTGCCAACCAAGGGCTAGGACTGCAACAGGCAGTTTCCCAAAAGCAGTCTTGCCACTCACAACATCAGGAGGGGTTTCAATTAAATTTCAAAGGGATTTCAAAGGGTGTTCGTTGTTATCAACAATTAGACATTTCAGATTGAAAACCCAATAACAACTTTGATTTTCAGATTCATACCAGCCTTTTGGACTACGTTTGTGTTTATAAAAAAAAGGACTGAAGTTACTAATACATCTAGGCCAGGCATGTCCAACCGGTCGATTGCAAAAACTGTGGTCCATTTTCCCTAAAAAAGCTGATCTAGGCTATGGGTTTCCAGATCAGCAAAACAGATAACAGTTTTTTCCTGTTAAAGCTCCTACACGGAGTAGCAACTGTGGGTAAGGGGCCCATGCTGCACAGTGTTTGCGCCAGATCCCAGACCGGCCTTGCTCTTGGTCTCCTCCACTGAGGAACTGAGTGTGGTCGCCAGCCCCCTGCCTCACACCACGACAGCAGCTTTAATAGGAAGAGACTGGGGTGCCTAATCTATGCAATTTCACACACAGAAGGCTATTTACCTAGTGCTGCGCCACACAAGCAAAAAGCGTTCAACAAAAATGAGCATAAAAAGATAAGCACTGCTCTCTAGTGTGTGCTTTCTGTTATAACACTTAAGTACAAATACGAGTCTCTGCTGTGATCAAAAATAAAGTAAATTTCAATGTGGCCATGAGGTTACTAAGGTTGTGCTCCTAAGAAGACCTGCTAGGAGTAAGCCCCCACTGCCGTCAATGAGACCTCCATTCAAATCAACATGCACAAAATGGCAACTTGCACCCTTCAGCTTGCATTCCTTCATTGAATTAAAAGGAAAGCCTCATCTTCAGATTCCATACAGGAGTTTTGACAAAAATTATGAACCTTATGTGCCACTTAGGACACAGAGGAAGATTACAAACATTTACTGCACTGCAATTTTCTCCTAAATGTATAAAATTCTATTTTTCAGTACAAAAGAAATAAACAATTCTCAGATGGGAATGCAGAATTTTGTTGTAAATATTCCCAAAAACTTTAGATTTTTATGCATAAGCTCTTAAATTTCAGTAATGGAAGGAAAAAGTAAGACAAGCAGTTAAATTCACCAGCAATTATGCACTTGAAAATAAACAGGATTTTATAATCTACACTTGGGGTTTTTTGTTTGTGTTTAAATAAACTAGAACATATCCAATACTGCCATCATATGGAACAAAACAGAATAGCAACAAGTGTGCTTATTCTGATTGCTATTCACCAGAGAGCCTTCTTGACATTAGTATTATAAATAATGTCTCATAAATATCTATCTATCTATCTATCTATATACTGCAGCAGTTTACAACAACATAAAACCAGACGATAAAATTATAGTAAGTTAAAAACTAGTTTAAAACAAATAGAAATTAAAAGCATACATCAATTGACCATGGGGGGGTGTACTCTTAACTACATGCATAGTTCTGGAGGAACAGAAAAGTTTTCAGCATGTTTCTAAAAGTCAGCACAGATGAATTGGAGGCTATGAGTCTTAGTTGTATTTTACAGCTTGGTTTTTGTTTGTTTTTGGTTATTGTATTTGTATTTGTGAACTGCCCTGAGAAACCTGGTGATGACGGGGCATGATATAAATCTACACTTGATCTTAGCTAAAAGGCTGAAAGCAGTAACAAAAATTATCCAATGACTTATCTGCATGCATATTTGAACCTGTTTTTAACATCACACCACGCTCACCATTTCAGTGGTCTAGCACGTTCAATAAAAGCCAATATGGCTTTTAAAATACTTTATGTGAGCTGTACCAAATGCAGCCTGACAACTCCTTTTTCCCTATTTTAGCCACCCTGTTAAGACTGACGTGGAGCTGGGAGAATGAGGCTTGCTGAAGGAATAAGTGTTCCAGTTATGTGACTCACTTCTCTGCAGGAGGTTGGGCAGGAGCAACTTGGAAGGTTCTATCGGTTCTCCCCACCCCAAAAAGTGGCACACACAATTGTGGAGAGGAGGTCAGCTCTGTGGAGTTCACGGTCGCCCCTTGACATTATCCAAGCTGCTTTAGAGTGTAAGGGGCAAGGAACTGAACTCTCACTTCTCTTTCTTCTCACTTACCAGATCCAGCTTGGGGGGGGGGGGGTCAAACAGAAGCTCAGAAAGGAAGACAGCCCTTCATAAAGCTTTGCCAGACACATTCTTATAAAAAGTAGGGAAACTAAGATGACCAGTCTGCTAGAGGAAGGACAAGTGGGCTGAAGTGTCCTGGAAAAGCTTGTCCTGGGCTGCACTTCAGGGCCAAAGAACTACAATGCTCCCACAACTCAAAAGTGGTCCGCCAGTGGATAAACTCAACATTTTAATCAGATCATTCTTCCCTGTCCCCACATCTTTCCCTTAAAAAGAAAAATAAGAGGAGAATAAGCAGTTCCAACCCTGCATTTTGCAACTGCCAAGTAGTTTAATAACTTGCATAACAGAATGGCCTAAAGCTCCCTCATACTGAACATTCATTCCACTAATTATGCTTAGAAAATAAACTTACTAAGTAGCTAAAATGTTAATCTATGCTCAAAAGCAGTGTGCAGGCAGTAACAACTTGTTTTCTGTAACTTTTCAAGCCAACCAGGATGAGGGTCATGCACATTTATGAATCACAAGCCCTCGCTGCTCATGAATAGCAAGTTTTAGCTGGACTCACTAGGAAGCCAGTATTTGTGGCTGCCCGCAATGATCACCAATCCATCCCCTGCGTCAAGACCTCTGGCAGGAAGAGAGAATGCAAGCAAGGAGTGGCGTACTTTTTTCCTCATCTTACATTCAAGGGTATATAAAAAACCAAGAGCACACAGCCCGTGCTTCCTATTAAAATTCTCCATATGCAACAAGAAGAAACTTAAGAGGATAAAAAATAGGTTAGAGAGCAGTTGTACAAGGGCAATATGACTAATTTGTTCACTGGATGAGCTCCCTGCACTGCTGCTGAATGTGGGAAGGAGGGTCTTAACTCAGCAGTAGTGCACATAGAGAGGGTCCAAGGTTAGTCCCCAGTCTCTCTATATGGGGATGGTAAAAGACCCCTGAAGATGGACTGGCCAGGCATTAACACAATTTCCTTTGTTTTAAGAAAATGGTAGGAAAGTCAAAAGCTGGTTCAGTGTATAACGTTTGGTTTGTTTTATTTATTAATAGTTATAACAACAATTTTAATAAGAGTAGCAGCTGTTGCACTAATGAGCGCTCCTACCTCTTCTCAATTCTAACAATGCTACTCTATAGGCACAATTTAAGCTATGTTTAACACCATATCCCAGTTACGTGATTCTCCAGAAACAGAAGACTTTAAATGGACAGTTAAAAGTGACTGCTGGGACAGAAAATAAAGACAGCTACTGAACAGATCTATAAGAAACCTGTACCTCCATGCTAGGAAGGGATTAATCACCCAGACTTTAAAATCACAAGAGCACTCCTCCCTTTTACAGCGTCGTTGTTCACATTACCTGCACAGGTAATGGCCATTTTGCTGTGCAGCTAAGCCATTTTTTGGCTTTGTGTTGTCATTTGAACCCAGTCTCCTAGTTTAGCTCTCCAGACAAACCACAAAATGTGAATCTTGGGGCAACCTTTTGTCACAGCTCTTGGCATGTCTGAAAAGAGCTAACCCATGTCTGAATGACACATTAATCCAAACCATGGCCTGGTTCAGTACAGCGACAAAACAATCAGGGAGGAGCAAAACTGTCCCATTATTTTATGTGGCAGTTTGCTTGTTTGCACTAAGTCAAACTATGTCTTGGGTTTACATATGCACTGGGCCAATATTTTTGAAGCACTGGAACTAAATTGAGAATGTTGAGTTTAACTCCTGCACATGGAAGTGTCTACCAACACCAAAATGCCCACTAGAGCACCTCGAACTGTTTTGGAGAAGAAAAAGATGTGGCATGAACAACTTACACCGATTCTTTCCTTCACCAAAATGAACCAAGAGAAAAAGTCAAAGGACTTGGAGTTGGGAGGTGTTGGTCTGTCAAATACAAGTATTTTTTCTGCAGTGTATGGAGAACTTGGGCAAACAGATCTTTGCGTTCAGGACAGTCATCAAAGCATAGCTGTCAAGTGTCCCTTATTTGAAGGGACAGTCCCTTATTCCAGCGCCATGTCCCGCTGCTGTCCCTTACTGATGGATGTCCCTTAAATGATGTCACTTAAATTTCAAAGGAAACAGCTCCTCTCCCTCCCTCCCTGCTGGCCAGGGAGGAGGCAGGCTCCAACTGTGTTGCTTGGCTGTGTTGCTCACCCAATAAGAAGTCTAAGAACGACTGGGGGGTGGAGCTTGCATGCCTTGTGTGTGGCTAGTTAATGCAAGCTGAGGGGGTTTTTGAATGCTGGACGCCATTTTGTTGCACGTGCTGCTGCAAACTTTGCAGTGCAAAGCCAGGCTGGGGAGCCATCTTAAGTTGAGGCTGCCTAGGCCTCGTGGTGCATGTGATTCAGATTCTATTCAGTTGAACCTCTGGTTACAAAGTTGGTTGGACAGTGTTCTCGAAGCTACCAGCATGAGTTTGACCAGATTGCAGGAGGACAGGAAGACTGGAGTGCCTGGAACAGGTGAGGCTGCAGGTCCCTTATTTTCAAGGCTGCTGGTCCCTTATTTTCAAATCTGTAAGTTGACAGCTATGCGTCAAAGAGGGAGGAGCAGATGCCATCAGTAACTTGGCAATGGGATTTCTAGGTTCATGAAAACAAAGTAAAAACCCACTCAAGCCATGCATCAGTGATTCTCTACTATCATAAGCAAGTCTGAAGTCTCCAGCCATTTCCCACAGTGCTATTTCACACAAACTATTGTGCGGCCTGTGGGGGCCCTCCAAGATTCCAGGCGATTGCTGCCACGGGCATCCTTTCCTTCTTGTCCCCTCCACCATTTAAAGCCTGGGAACTTCTCCCAGCAAGGGTGCAAGTCAACAAAGTTTGAAAAACTAGAGCAACAGTAGATGACCATCAGCCATAAAAAATGTACCCACCTCAAACTGGAAGTTTGAGACTGCACTATCACACCCAACGGTAGCAAACATACAAATTATCCATCAAGACCCAGGAGAAGATTTGTGAGAACTCATCTGTAGCCAACTGTTCTGAAAAGGTCCACACAGTAGACATGCTTCCCTCTGTCAAATCAAACTTACCAAGGAGCACTATTATATTTAAATTTGCCGCAAAAACATACACTAGCCTGCTTTCCATACCATGACTGCACATACACTGTCTATACTCCTTCCTTACAATATAAAATATTTTACACTAGGAGTGGGGAACCTGATGTTGGCAGACTCCCAAAGGCCACCAGTGCCAGCCAGTATGGCGAATAGGCAGGGAGGATGGGAGATGTAGTTCAGCAATATGTGGAGGGTTACAGGTTCCTCACCTCTGCTTCACATTCCATTTAAAAAGGGATGTTTTAAAAAAAGACGGAAACATAGCGTACCTTTTTAAAAACCTTTCCAGATGGCTGGATTTCATCTTCCTCCTTCAAGACTTCCCGTGTTCCCAGGAGTTTTCTGTCCTTAAATTTACTCCTAGCATACTTGAAAGCTTTGTCGAGTGTATCACAACCAGGGTATAATACAGATGCTAAGCAATGCAAACTGTTAACAGATCTGTATGCACTGCCTGGCCTGCAACTCACAGGTTTAGCTTTAATTTGCTTTGACTTGGCTATGACATGTCTTGCTCCAGAAAATAAATACCATGGAATAAAAGTTATAACTGTGTAAAGCAAGATTACAAAGTTTATAAAAAAAAGAAGCAATGGATTGATATCATGCTTTAGCTTCATAGAGTCCATTTTTGAAGATTTCATGCTCTCCTGTGTAGCTTACAAAGTATATCACAAAAAGATCAATGAAGTCCTGAAACAGAAAAGAAGGGGGAAAACTATCATCACACATTGACCGCATTGACTTAGGTTTCATAATTAAAACTCATATTCCATTTATGGAACTATAACAAAGTTAAAAAGGCCAAGCAAAAGTGGAGAGGTTAAATGTTTGAGCACATCTTTCATGTATGAGTCCCCCATATTTGATTCACAGCACCTCCAGTTAAAGGGTTCTGAGGTAGGAAACTGAGAAAGACATTTACCTACCCCTCCTCTCTACACAGGTCCCTCTTCCACTTTCTTGTTTTCTTTAACCAAATTTTTCACGACGAACTCATAAAATCACAGAATTGTGGGGCTAATTGTCAAATGAAGGTTAGCACTTTCCTCCAAGGGTTCCTGGTTCATCTAATCAAAGTTCAAAACAGCAGCCCAATTGACAAATGATGTTTAGCACTTTGCCTCCAAGCAATGGCTGACAAACCTATTTCAAACCGTAGTTGAAAGGCAAACTGCTGCCAAGTGGTTGATCATGATAAAATGATTAGGTAAACTGGGAAGTGTAGAAGGAAAGATGCATTTCAGGCACAAGGAGTCTGCATCACATTCTCGAACCTCCGAACCATGATTTGGAGAATGTGTTTGGGACATCTGAATTGAGCCCATACAGTGGTTCCTCGGTTTAAGGACAGTCCGGTTTAAGAACAATCTGGTTTACAAACATCGCAAAACCAGAAATAGTGTCTTGGCTTGAGAACTTTACCTCGGTCAGTGAACGGTGGAAGGGCACGGGTGCTGGGAGGCCTCATTAGGGAAAGCATGCCTCGGTTTAAGAACGGTTTTGGTTTAAGAACGGACTTAATGGATTAAGTTCATAAACCGAGGTACCACTGTATAAAGATACCTGTGAACAATGTCTAGACCTCATAAAGTCAAATATATGTTGTTCAAAAGGATAGTACAAAATTCTCAGTATACTTAGAAGAGTCATTCTTAAAATATACTCAAAAATAAATTGCAAAAAACCCCAAAAACTTTTTTTTTTCAAAAAGCACAGGAAACCCGAAATTTTCTACTGAATCTGCCACTGGTCCGCATAGCTCACAATTTCCTACCAAACTGACTAGCTGCAGTCCTCCTATCCAGTACTTACTGCAAATTATAGACATACATTAAAGCTAAATTAAGCAAGGAATATGAATGACACAGTGTTTACAAATACCCTTTTTTAAAAAAATAAGGAACATTTTTTGAACATTGAGAAATGGCACAGCATAAAATGTCATCTTACTTGTTCACCTTACTTACCAAGCCATATTGCTATGTGGCCTTTAAATATATGTTTAATTCACTGGCAGAACTTGCATTAACACCTTCTGTTGTGCCTGTAAGAAAGCAAGAGAAATGGTATGCTTTTAGCTCACAAACCACCAAGTTCAGATAATGATAGAAGGGCATGCTCTCTCCACAAATTATCATACTACATTCATAGTACTTCAAATGAATTTTACTATAAGCTATAATAAGCTATCTGAAAAACGATGGGATAAAAATATACTACAAATCTAAATATTTTACATGCAATTACATTTCACAATTATTAACCAAGGCTACCACAACATTCAGCAAACCCAACCCAGCCAACTTTTCTGCATGTCTTCTGGAGTAAGCAAGCTACAGACAAGCCTGGCTAATGCTATTAAGATTGTGGTCAAAATCTACAAACTAGGGGATATGCAAACTTTTACACAGAACTCTTCAACAAACAGTCATGCTATCAATAAAATTGAATTGTAGCACTTAACATTGCACAATGTGCACTAAAAGACCTAAATAATATAGGAGTCATAACCATAACAAAGAAAATAGCAGCTAAATGTGCTAATATCAATATTTAAATGGATGCTAAAAGGCCCGGGAGGACAGGAAAATCCCTGCCTGGTACCAGCACAACATTAGAGAGAATTCTGCCAACCAGTTTCAGACAGCAATTAACATCCATGAATTTAACAGTTTTGTGGCACTTTACTTTTAAAAACTAACAAATTTATGAAGTTGATTAAAGATTCCTTTCTTCATGTAAAGAGAAAGCTATACCAATAGCCCCAATTTCTGTCGTGAAATATGCAGTGCAAAGCAGAAGGCTTGATGGCAGTTTCTGTATACTTCTAGTAAACAATTCAAGTAAGAATTTGGGCAGGGAGATTGTACCTGTGGGCTTGGTCATAAAAAGCCCACAGGCCCACTGGACAAAAAGATCAGCTGCGTCTTCCCCATTGTTCAGTTCCTCTACTAATCAACAGAGAACCAACTTGTTGTAACGCAGGTCTTAATTTCTAAAGCCTCTCTTTCCTGCAGTCCCTCTGCGATAGTGTGGGCATCTAGGTTGAAAAGAAGATACTGGCTTTGTTCTAGTGCCACAACCTTGGTCTTTCCTCTTCACTGGACATGGTCTGAAGGACTGATGGGTGCTCCAAGTCCTGCAGGAACTGTCCCCTTTGTGCTGGTCTATTTTCACCTGGCCTGGGTGGGTGGGTGGGGCCCTGACTGACTCCAGCTACAAGAGGTGGTGCTGCAGCAGTGGCGGCAGCCAGAGACCTCTTTATCCTGTGACCCCTGAAATTCTTCCTTTTTATTGAGTTCTTGGGGGGGCCCGGAGGTGGGATACCAATAGCATTTTTTTCCTGGGAATTTGATTTCCCTGAAATTGCTACTTGTGAGTTTCCAGAAAGTATACCACATGGTCTATCTTCTCCATCTCGAAGAAAGAACACAAATCATGGCAAGCATTTTAGGTTTCAATAACAAAGAACAAGTTTCAAAGGCAAAGCTAAAATTAAATTATATTTTTTTAAAAATACTAATTTATTTTAAGAGCAGTTATTCTTCAAAAGCACCTGCTAACTCTGATTGTTCAAGATAAAACGAGTAGTCCCAGTCAACTCTGAAATACAAGGGGGTAGGGAGAAGGCAGGTTGAGTCCCCAATTCACCCTTTCTAAGCTGCACCCTGGTACTACAAGAAGCAAGGTGGCTTATATAGTCTTTCTTTGCTGTATTTTGCCCACAGTCTCTTTGGTGACATACTATATTATGGTTGCAGCTTTAAATAATTTTTTGCCAAGTTCCACTCAAGTATTAAATAAAAAAGCCTGTTTCAAAGAAAATGTATTTTAGGATTTATTCAAAATCAGTCTGTCCAGAGTTCTGAGAAATGCACTGACTGATCCCATTATACAATTATTATACAATAATTACTTTCAGAGGTACAGTTCTTAAATGGGAAAGTGGGGGGAAATCCAGATAAAAATGTGTTTACCAGCTGATCTGATAATCCTGTGACGAACAATTAAACTAGAATAAAGCACAAAGTGTCAAGACAAAGAAACCTTAAATGACTTCTCATTGTTGTGGTTGGTACCGATGGGACAGCAGTTTCTAGACGCTTCAGTCTCAGCTGAGTATTTCACCCACAACGTTGCAGAAATCTAAAGACAAAAATGTGAAACTAAATTAAAGCAACTATAAAAACTAATTGCTGCCCTTTCACCTAAATAGATGCAAGATCCAACCTGCAAATTTTCCAAGTTGCACTGCATTAATCAGATATAGACAAAATACAATTACTGCCATTGTACCCCATAGTCCATTGCATCACATTTTATTTATTTCCTGGATTTGTATCTCACCAACACAGCATTCAGGGAGGCTCACAACCAAAAAAACTAAAACCTAACATCCAAGACTAAGCAATTATACATCATATTGATTCCAAGTCACAGGACAATTTATCCAACTATGAGACGTGCACCATCCACTCAAATCTGGATTCTGTTGATTACTAGCCCGTGTCTAACAGATCATGCACATCTACCACCACGTGTGGTATTACATTTTTGGTACATCACAGGGAACAGTTGCTTTTTGATAATTTGCCAGTACTCTAAAATTTGAGTCCTGCTCACAGCAGTGGATGCAGACAACCAGGTACTGTAGTACTGGCACAGAAAATATATTCAGGTGCTTCTCTTGCAGACACCACAAAAGCCCACTATCTCACACAGAGGAATTAAGTCACAATGGCCTGTATCCTCCAAATAGCAGAAATGTGTACTTCGCAAACAATAATAAAATTTCAAACATGCAAGAACAACATGCTGAAAGACTGGGCTAGAAGAATTACTGGTGGGCTTAACAAAACAATTATCTCTTCAACTTTTGCACATATATCCTAAGGAAGGCCAAGGCCACCTGCCCCCAAGATCATAAGGTGAGAATCCAAAAGAATTCAAAAATGCTTAAAACTACAAGAACTTCTAGTGTAGTTTTCATTTTTGATAGGTAAGTGGGTTGTCTGGGTTTAAAAACATTAACTAGAATCGCCTTGACAATTGCCTAACCTTGATTAGGTTTATTCTTTTTTAACAAGAGCATTCAACTCAGTTCGCAACAGTCAAATCTAATATAGAATAATGAGTTTTTACTAGATAACTCAGTCAGTAGAGCATACGGCTCTAAATCTCAGGGTCAAGGGTTCGAGTACCACACTGAGAAAAAAATTACTGTATTGCAGGGGGTTGGAATAGATGACCCTTGTGGTCCCTTCCAACTCTATGGTTCTATGATAATATGAGAGTGAAGTCCTAGGGCACAGTTTCTCAAATTGCAATCCATGAATTCCATTCAGATAGCCTAAGGAAAAGTTATGGAATGTTCGATAAGATCTGAACTTGGTTGCTTTTTTTCTGAGAACAGTGCATGAGGCACAGTCAAATTATCAAAAAGATTAACAAATTATCAAAAAGATTAACAAGGACCCATGATTATCAGAATTATTATTATCAATTTAATTTATACACAATTTAAGGATGCACAAAATGATTAAATATCTAAAAACAGATGCAGAATGTGACAATGATTCTGGTCTTGAAGGGGCAATAATATTACACTTCATATTTAATCTGGAAACAAAACCTGAATATATATTTTTCTGGCTTGGTATCACCATACTCACTACATACTTTTATTTGGTTGCAATAGGCTGCATATGTTATCATCAGATGCACTTCTGCTAGTGTACATGGTTGGGTATTTTGTGGCTGTTTGTCAACTGTGTGTTTAAGGGTTTCACTTGGTAGAGTTAAACATGGAAGGGAAACAATGTGTAAGCCCATACAGTACATGATGTGATTTTATAGCTGTTAATGAAAAGGAAACTCCCACTTAAAACACAATCCTACTCACAGTTGCTCCCCTGCACCTTTTACAGGGCAGAAGTATAATGCAGAGCAGAAGTATAAATGCACGAGGTATCAGCTAAAGCCAATGTGGTGTAATGGTTAGTGATGGACTAAGACTTGGAAGACCGTCCAGTTCAAAATCCTACTCGGTCATAAAGTTCATTGAGTGGCCTTGGGCCAGTCACCATCACTCATTCTCATAACAACCCTGTGAGGTAGGTTAGGCTAACATGAGGAGAGGGAGAATTATGTATGCCACCTTGAGTTCCTTGGAGGAAAGGTGGACTATAAATGTAGTAAATAAAAACAGTATTTTAACAAATGCACCTTGCTATTAATTTTACATATTTATCATAAAGTTGTTTGCATATTATACAGTTTAATTTTACTACCTGCTGAACTTTCTGTGCACTGCTCAGTTGCATTTCAGGGCTATACTGCAAACAAAGAAAAATATGTCACAAAATTACTTTGCTGTAACATATATCAGGCTCCACAGTGAACCAGCAAACCATGTGCTTCTGCCCCAGTTTGGGTGGCGACAATACAGAAAAATAATGGATTGAAAACACCCAGATACAAAATTTAAGCTACTGATCTATTTTATATGTACTTCACATACAATCCTGTGTGTGTCTACTAAGTCTACTAAGTGTGATGGGAGTTAAATTGGTCTTACGTTCTGGTGTGTGATTGCAACCTTAGCTTGCAATCCTATGCACATTTACTAGGCTAGGGAGCCTGGGTCAGTGTACATAGGACTGCAGTTAAGTCTTCAGCTACTTCATCAACTAGCAGCAGTAACAGGTGTTGGGTGAGAAGCCTTGTGATAATCTAGCCCCATCAAAAGCTATGCGGCAGCAGTATTCAGTTCAAGGGGAAACTGTCAAATCCGGAACTAATTATGTGAATTAAAGGAAAGATTATTTGGGGCCTCTTTCCTTTTTGATAGCACACGTGCCTTAATGTTTTTATTTCTTCCGCTGTGCTTGTGGCTCGCTATCTTAAAACCCAGAAATCAGTAGTGAGGATAAGCATCTTAAAATTGGAGCTAACATCAAAGAACGGAACAATCGCCCTTTCGCCATTCATTTCTAACAGAACAGGAGAGCGTTGGGGCAACTTGTATCTATATATATCTATATATAGCTTCGGGGGAAACGCGTGGAAGTTGGCGAAGAGAAAGCGCTGAGTGAGCCGAGTGACGCTTGCTTGGCGTCTTTCAGCATCGTCACCCGGATGACGGAGGAGGCGCAGCGCTGTTTCTAAAGGTGCAACTCTGGCTGGGGTGCAAACCTTACCTGGCCAAGTGGGATCCCTTGGTGGGCGGGAGGGAGGGGAGGCGACCTTCGTCCCCCCGCCCCCCACCCGCTAGGTGTACCAGGCAGCACCCACTGCCATCCGATTCCTTGTCCCGGGGGTTGAGAGCAGCCTCGGAGGAGGCGTTGCCGTGGAAACGGAAAATCCGCTTTGTGACGCGGTTCGAAGAGCGGCCGCTTCCCTCTAGCCCGCCCCTCCCCATCCGAGACCCAGACAAAAGGAGCCGCTCGGAGCCCACGTGGCTGCAAGCCGGCAGGCACTGGCCTGTTTCCACGCCCCCAGCCCGAAAACTCCGCCCCCCTCGAGGGGGGTGTCTCAGGGAGCGCCGCGCATCGGGGAAACGTGGCTTCACGCGCATTCCACAGGGGTGCGGTGTTAAAAGATAAAGCAAGGTTTGGCTGCCGGGTTGGAGCCCTACCTTCTAAGGTGCGGCTGCGGTTGTTTCCGGGGGGGGGGGGGAGCTCTGCTATGGAGATCCCAGTAGTTTTAAGGAAGCCGGTTGCACAAGTTTCTGCACAGGAGCGGGTAGTGGGAAACGCCCAACGAGCCCATCACGAGTTTAGGAGAGCTGCAACATGCTTTAAGCGCGATCTCACAAACTTTTAGGGTTTTCCCTGCTTCCTTGAATGTGTTACGTTTCAACGCAGCTATAGGAGTGTCGATTAAGCTGCCTTGTGTTGGTTTTTACGGGTCTCGTATGCTGCTTCATGCAACACTTTTCCTGAAGGTTACTCTATTAAAAATTGGACTACACTTCCCATTATTTGCAGCTCACTGGCCTGGCTGGCTGGTGCTGCTGGAAAATGAAGTACAACAATGTCTGGAGAACCACAGTTTCCTCATCCCTTGGGCAGGTCCTGTCACCATGTTTGACAATCTGTACTCTTAAGGCACGTATGCAGCCTAATGGACTGGAATTCTTGCTTCGGTTTCAAACTCTATTTTTGTAATGAAACGGCAAAAGTAAAATGAAATAGATCTTTTACCAGGATAGTCATCAAAATTATATAATCTGAGCAAGTCAACAGCAAGTTGGGGTGTGTGAAGGTAAACAAAGTGTTATGATACATGACATAGGTATTTTACTCTGAAGCTTTTTATTAGCTCACCAGGATAGTAAACATTAAATGTTGATTGCCACACAAAAGCAATACAGTCTAGTGATCTGTGAAATGACCATGTATTGGGCACACCCACAGCCTTAAGATTTTATTTGGTAAATATTTTATTAATACGCCTTTAGATTCAAAATTTCCACGGTGGCTTTTTAAATTATAAACAAGCTTTCAGGCAAAACAAGTTTTCACACTATAAAAAGGTGGCAATTGTGGGGTATTCTTATTCATTCTACATTGCAGTAGACATAGTATTAATCTGCTAATACAGCCAAACAAATAATTGCTATACTTTATAAAAAATGATGTGAATTAATAAGGTTTTTATTTTTCATGTTTAGTAACTGCAAATGTAAATGTCTACCATTTGTTTGCTTACCTGTGAACTGATTTTTAAAAAATCCTTGCGCCTCTCTATCACTTTATAGGTTAATTACTATAGCTCTTTCCATAATTGCTACAAGAAGAGGAGGAAAGCTCTACCTGTGCAACTACTGCTTGATGTTATATACACAGTATCGGGAAGACACGGCAACCAGTATTAAATCAGACAAGCAGATGTCTTAGCTCAGCATTCTGTCAGTACTTCTGGCTAACTAGATGCAGTACTGGCTAACCAGATGCAGAGCTTAATGTTGGCTCCTCACTAATGGGAAATGCATGGATTTAGCCTTGGACATTATAACACAGCAGTGCCATCAAACACATAATCCAGTGGTTTTCAACCAGTGTCCCGCTGCACCCAGGGGTGCCTTGAATGATGGTCAGGGGTGCCGCTGGCAACACTGGCCTCTGTCACACTTTCCTCTGGTGCCTCTGTGCTACTTCTGATGCCCTCTCTGATGCTTGCACAGCTGTTTTTTGCAGCAGTCCTGGCTATAAGCTCCACAGGTGAATGGTGCCTCTGGAAAGCACCTCTCTTTGGGGGGAGGCAGCTCAGAGACCAGGGACGGGCAGTGCTCAGAGGACTCCCAAAGAGAGGGGAGAGTAGAGGAGGCTAAGGGAAAACTCCACATGGAAGGGTGTTCGAAAACAGGTGAGAGGCTGCCAGCTCTGCAGGCAAGTGGTGACATAATTGGGCTCCTGAGCCCCACAGGGGTGCCACAGAAAGAATGTAGCTGGTCAAGCTGGTGGACTCAGAAAGGTTGAAAACCTCTGACATAATCTATAACTCACTAGCATAGCTATCGTGTTCTCCCTCTTATCCCGAGTAATTATGCCATACTGTATTGTGAATTAGAATAAACCCTTCCAATATAAGAGGCTAGTACTTCCACAGGGTCTTGAGCCCCAGCACTGCTCACTTTAGAAAGGAATTCCTGGCCAGATGCCTGTAGAGGATTTCACAAGAGCAGTACAATTTTCACCCTTTGTTAGTCAATTGCTAGCTAAAACCCAAAAGTATATTCTCTGCGTTAAAGATAGTGTTTTGTGATTTAGCATAGCCTTGTAAATTAAGCCCACAAAGCTTACTCCCCAGCAAAAAATTTAGTGCAAGCCCCCTTCTCTGCAGCTAGTATGGAAATGCAAACTTAGTGGCCTCTTAGCAGGCTAGTGAAAACAGAACAAAAAGCTTGCCTTCTATTAGAAAGAAAAGCAAAGGGTGTCCCTCCTGTGTTGAATGTGGAAGAGAAGGAGTTTTCCATCCTTTGCCATTAACGTGGTATCCAAGTGGAGTGCAGCAAGAGTATTCACCTGCATAGAATTCCTCATCACTCACAGCTACCTGGCAAGTTGTTAAATACAAGACTGATTTAATGGCCACAAACACATTAGTCATCCCTTAAGTGGTTTTAAGAGAGCTATTTTATGCACTGGGGCATAAGAACAATCTATGGCAATTCATTCCAAAGATGAACTCTGCACTGAGAGAATTGAAAAGCCACAGCTTAAAGCTGGTAATCAAAATTATATATACCTCAGATGAATAATATAGAGAGATAGAAAAGGTAAAGGACTCCTGGATGGTTAAGTCCAGTCAAAGGTAACTATGGGGTTGCGGCGTTCATCTCGCTTTTCAGGCTGAGAGAGCCGGCATTTGTCCACAGACAGCTTTCCGCATCATGTGGCCAGCATGACTAAACCACTTCCGGTGCAATGGGACACAGTAACGAGTGCCAGAGCCCATGGAAACGCTGTTTATCTTCCTGCCACAGTGATACCTATTTATCTACTTGCACTGGTGTGCTTTTGAACTGCTAGGTTGGCAGAAGCTGGGACAGTGCAACGGGAGCTCACCCCATTGTGCGGATTTGAACCACCGACCTTCCGATCAGCAAACCCAAGAGCCTCAGTGGTTTCCAGGTGTCTCACACCATCTGAGGTACAGCAATATGAAGTGTAAGGTCCATAAAGATAACACCATAAACTTTATGAAGAAGTTTAAGATTGACTGTTTAGCTAGCAGTATCTCAGTTGTGCAACACAATGACTATGCATGACCCTTTTTTTGTAACTGTTTCAGAGATTGGGAAAGGATAGGAGAGATATTCCACAACCCAGGGCACACTGAGGATTGAAAGCATATTACTAGAATCCAGCACTTTCCTCAGTACACTGGATCTTGCAGGGGGTGGGGTTATCTCCAGTAGCAGACAACAGAAATAGCAGAGCAACAGAGAATAGGAATTGTTCATGCAGTCATTGATAGTGAAGACTAGGCAAGCAAGCAGGAGCATCTTTTGCCTGGGCTATTAAATAACTGCATGACAGAAGGCAGCAAAGGAGGAGGAAAGGAGGAAATAGTGGCTTCTTCATGGCTCATGTGCTGTCCCTATTATGTACTGTTACTTAGTGGTAGGTTTCGGGTTGAATTAGCAAGGGCTGGTATTGATTGATGCTTTATCATGTCAATCACCTGTCAATGTAACTTGCTGAATATCTCTTACTATTAACTAGCAGTCACGATCCAAATTGCACAACTCAGGCATTGCAGCCAACTGTGATAATCACAGCCAAGGAAGCAATCAGTACAGTCTCCAAGGAATCTTTCTTTTAACATATGGAGTTTCCTTCTGCTAGTTTGCTTTTGATATAAATTGCCTTATGCCAAATCAGACCACTGGTCCAGCTTGCTTATGGTCTGCATTCTCAACAATGACTGGCAATAGGTCTCTGGAGTTCCAAGACAAAGTTTTTCCCCAGCCCTACCTGGAGATACCAGGAACTGAACTTGGAATCCTTTCCATGAAAAACATGTGCTCTACCACTGAGCTACAGTCATTCATATGTTAAACACTTATTAACTGAATGTTGGATAATTTGTTACAAAGTACCCAAAAAGTCCAGCTTTTGTTTTGGTAGCCTGTAGCTGAGAATGAAGTTAATTTGGCCTGGAGAGAATCTCCATTAAAGTAACTCAGTCAGAGCACATTCAAGAGATACAACACTTCCTGTGAAATCAATTGATTTCTTCACTGTGAATCTTTCTAAACACTTCTAAATTGAAAGTTAAATAAAAGAACAACAGACACCTTCTAAACATGTGAAGCCAAGATGCAAATACCTAAAATCTTACTTCCTTCCCCACAATAGCTAATCTGGTAGTTTCAAAGGCCCAAGGCTCCCACCAGAAAACCCACAAAAGAAATTACCGGTAATCCTTTTCCTTCTACTCATTAGGACAGCAGAATAAAGATGCACTTGTAGGAGCCATACCTCAGATATTTAGGACAAGCTTCCTGTCTGTCACCATTTAAAAACTTTTAACACCCAATTACTACCAGCATTTGTAGTCTTTTTATATTAATATTTAAGACCAACTTGAGCATAAAACATGTTTTTCACCTTAGCAACCAGGAATCTTTGGAACCCACTACAGAAATGTTACTTTCCACACAGTAGCACATAAACATCACTGTCCTTGTCTCTTTTTTACCCTCTACTACTTCTCACTTCAGAAGTCTCCATACTACCACCCCAACAAACTCCAACATATGAGAAATAAAGGCAGATATGAAATCTCGCTCCTCTCTTCCCTGGCAAGCAAGTCCATTGGCTAGCCAAACCCTTTGTTTTCCCCCTTGCTTTCTCTACCAGCCCCAAGCCATCTACTTCACCCACTTTCTGCTCCATAGAGCAGAATGCCCCTTCTCTTTTAGCTTTTTACTCTGTCATCCCAGTCTCTCTGTGTCTCAGCCAGTCCCTTTCTCTCCCTGCTCCTTTTATCTTGTGCTTTCAAGCCCCTAATTGGGTCCCTTCCTCTTGAAGGAAATCTGCCCTTTTCCTGTGCTAAATATCTCATTCTGTTTTGCTCATTTGGTGATCACAGACTACTGCTTTACTGCAGGTGGGCATAATTTGGGGAAATCATGCTTGTGGACTAAATCTGAACCCCTGCTGGGTCACGTTTGGCCTGCAGACTCTAGTCTAGAGGTTCATCACCCCTGTTCTACTCAGTGTCAGTTTTCCTTCCAATATCAACTTCAGCCAAATCTTCTTCATCCAACATAATACTCCACTTTCCCTAACCAATTTTACTGCATCCTAGGTTTTCTATGTTCTGAGGCATGCTTTTCAATATAATTAATTATAGTCTTTTATTGGTTTTTAATTCAACCTATTTTTAACACACACACAGCTTCTTCAACTTTTTTTTAGTAAGAATACTTATTTTCTTTTTGATAAAATAAAATGGTCTTTTTTCTTCTTCTTTTTTTGCTATCCTTGTTGACATTTGAGGTGCCAAATTCTGGAGTGCATTCAGGTCTCAATGTCAAAAGAGCCTTTAAAAATGTGAGCAGGGGTTTATGTTACAACTTTAGGCTTGCAGGCACACTTGAGGAAGTCCTCAAGGCATTTGTTCTGTATTTTCAGAAGCATAAGTAACCCTCAAATGTTACAGTAAGATGTGGTCAGTATATAGTGCTAATTCATTGCTGTAAGATGCCAAGCAGCCCCAACACTTTCATCTTTTGTAATTCCCACCGAATTCATTTATCCAATGAGATCAAAAAGTTGCTTAGGCTTTGCATCATGTGTGCATGGTTAAGAAACAATGAAAACCTTTATTACTAAGCCTTTCAAACATAAGAGATAACATTCCTTACTATAGATACAACAGATGTCCTTTGTCTACAGAATTAGAGCATCATTGTGACTAAGTACCACTTGGTAGTTGACTAAGATTAATTGGATAAACAGAAGACTATAGTCACCAGCTCTAGATACCCAGACATGTTCCCTTCAATAATGACCAAGCTGCAGGTAGGGGAGATGTGAGATGCAAACTTATCCAGTCTACAAGAGCAAAGACTACGTAAGTCCCTGGTGTTTACTGAGGTGATACACCATGACTATACCACTTCAGACTGCAGATTCAGCTTCCATAACTGAATAATAATAATAATAATTAACAACAACTATAATAAATCAAATTTGTATACCGCCCTTCATCCATAGATCTCAGGGCATTTCACAGTGTAAAACCTGAATATTGCACCCACTTCTACAAATAAAATATTAGACTATCCCGAGGATTTCATACAGTAAAGCATCCAATTATGCAAGTGGTACAGTTCAGATACAAGTTTGTCACAAAATGAGTACTAGATCTTGGTGAACCAGCAGTAAGATGCACAAACTACAAATATTTGGGCTGAAGGAGCTTCTCTTTTAATGCAGGAGTTTTCCTAAATACCTTAGGAGTTCCTGCCAGCAGTAGAGGCCCCTTCTGTCCCTCCCCTCACTTCTGATTTTGGCAAACCATAAACGAAACATGTAATTTTCATCTTTCTTCCCTTAATAGCAAAATGCAATGCCATCATTTTGTTGAAGGACTTGATAGAAGGTGCTTTAGACCTCGGATACAAGAAAAATGTAATTTAAGTTTAGTGTGTTTAATGTCTGAAGTATCTACAAGCGATCTACAAGTATCTACAAGTGATTACCTAAGGACAGCAAGTGGACTAGGTTTCAGTGCTAATCAAGACAGCAAATACCCCAAACCATGAACTCTTGATGCTCATAAAGCAGAGTAGCTAGCCTATCTTTAAGGCTATTCAACTAAGTTCAACTAAGCTTTACTCAGAGGAGACCCACTGCAATTAATGGACCTAACTTGATTCATTTTAATCCATCTACTTCAAGTAAGTTGAATACCACCCATTGTTAGCTCATCAGGCTCAGGCCCTCCGTGAACACTGGAACACATAGAACACATAGAAAAAGGTGGTCTGGGATAAGTGTGCCCACATTTTTAATGTTCTCCCACTGAAACTACATCTTTGTTGACCCCTCTGCATAAGTCATCTTTTCTAACACACTCAAGTTATCCAAACAAAAATTAATTAACTGCTTAGAAGCCATTCAGTAATTAATTGATTAAAATAATTATAATATACTCCAGGGCAAAGAATATAAGTTCCATGCAGCCATATGAATGCACACTCACTTCTAAATTCCCGTTTTGATATTCACAGGTATACAGACAGACAAACAGAAACTTCTCCAAGACACTACAGGGAACTTTAGAAGATAAGTTCTCAGAAGGCCCACATCTCATCTGTAAAAATCTCATTTCTTCCTGCCTGCTTGCTACACGTTAGACTCATGCTACAGATTATACAGGGGGAAAGAAGACATATCTGTGCCAGTTGGTGGTAACTATGCCATTATATTTTAATTAACTGATTAAGTCAGGCATAGGTAAACTCCAGCCCTCCAGATGTTTGGGACTACAATTCCCATCATCCCTGGCTAACAGGACCAGTGGTCAGGGATGATGGGAATTGTAGTCTCAAACATCTGGAGGGCCAGAGTTTGCCTATGCCTGGATTAAGGAGTTCTAGCTTAAGGTCATATATATCATTTTTATACAATACCATCTATGTACATTATATGTACATAGGAAGTAAGAAGATGCCCCCCAAAAGTCACCTACAATTACAATGATGCAATTTCAAGAATAAAGTTTGAATTATAAAATAGTCTAATTGCTACATTTAAATTTATTTTCTAAGACAAGTCACACAAGCTATATGTTCACCCTGTACTGTTAGTGAAGCATTCTATAAAAATGCACAAAAAATAGCAAACCTCTTACAGTGGTACCTCCGGTTACGAACTTAATTCGTTCCGGAGGTCCGTTCTTAAGCTGAAACCGTTCATAACCCGAGGAGCGCTTTCACTAATGGTGCCTCATACTGCTGCTGTGCATGACTTCCGCTCGCATCCTGGGGGAAAGTTTGCAACCAGGAGCATCTACTTCCAGGTTAGCAGAGCTCGTAACCTGAAGTGTTCGCAAGGAGGACGGTACGTAACACGAGGTTCCACTGTACTGTTTAAATATGCATTCCTTGCACTCTACATTCTTTCACACATGAGAATTAGGGTAAATTCACACATTGCAAAGCAAAAAATCCATGTCTGCCATCGCAAATCCTAGCAAAACATATATTGTCTTATACACCAGTAGAACCTTGGTGGTTCTAGGAAGCCTTAGTAGCTTCTTCAATAAGGAAAGCAGAAATAGGGACTAAGGCAGACATAGGCAAACTCGGCCCTCCAGATGTTTTGGGACTACATCATCCCTAGCTAACAGGACCATTGGTCAGGGGTATTGGGAGTTGTAGTCCCAAAACATCTGGAGGGCCGAGTTTGTCTATGCCTGGGCTGAGGTTTCTTGCACAGTATCTCGCTCACACAAATGGTCTCCTCCTACAGAGAACAGCCAAAGAGCTACAAGGTACCTCTAAAAGTCATGTGAGGCCACAGTGAAGGCTGGCAGGTCTGACTAGAGCTCCACACAACATTAATGACTATATTAAGATAATAGTAAACCATGGTTTATCATTATATGAGTAAGAGGGTCAGGGTCATGCACTGCCCCCTTCTCTTTTCTGCAGTCACAAGATCGGAAGTTTTCACTTCTGTTTTTAAACTAACTGTGGTTTATCATTATGCCCAAACCCGGACAAAGTGATTTTTAACCATAGTTTTTTGTTTGTTTCAATAACCCAGATTTAAACACAATTCAGGGTGCAAGTACAACACTAGACTGCTATTAATTGACACTTTTAATCTCATTGTGGCCCTACCAGACAGGGAGGGAGATGGGTATCGGACAAGATTCAAACACATACTGATAAACCATAGTTTAATGTTACATCTTAACCAGGCCAATATGTGCCAACAAATATTTCCCGAATTCCGCAAAACACACTGGGGTTCCTTCACAAACAAGACGATGATGTTTTAAACATTTGTTATAAGCAATTGCCCTTATTAATGAAGCCTTTGCAATATGCTCACAAAACATTTCCACCATCAAAGCCTTTCCTACTGGGTTAAACTGAAGGACAGGCCCAGTGCATAAATTGTGGTACCATTATGAACATGTTGCAGCACACACAGGACTATGCACTGAGATAAGCAATTTCTGGCATACATAGAAAAGCATTTCCATGATGAAAGGTGCCCAAATGCAGGTGATAGCAGAGAAATAAACACTATATTACACCACCATATATGGGTAATAGTTCTGTGATATAGGACCTACAAATTTAAGAAACTCTGTTTGCCTCCCAGAGTATGCAATTTTATTCTGAGAAAAGATAGCTTTGTATGTTTCATCATCTCTGGTGTGAACTCCTAGAAAGAAGAAAGTGCCTACCCAAAGGTAAAGGTAAAGGGCCCCTGGACGGTTAAGTCCAGTCAAAGGCAACTATGGGGTTGCAGCACTCATCTCCATTCAGGCTGAGGGAGCCGGCGTTTGTCCACAGACAGCTTTCCGGGTCATGTGGCCAGCATGACTAAACCACTTCTGGTGCAACGGGACACCATGACAGAAGCCAGAGCGCACAGAAACGCTGTTTACCTTCCTGCTGCAGTGGTACCTATTTATCTAATTGCACTGGTGTGCTTTTGAACTGCTAGGTTGGCAGAAGCTGGGACAGAGCAACAGGAGCTCACACCATCATGCAGATTCAAACTGCGAACCTTGCAATCAGCAAGCCCAAGAGGCTCAGTGGGTTAGACCACAGTGCACCCGTGTCTCTTTTTGTCATGCTAATAACCCTTGCTGTTTAATGTACTGCTCTGAACCTTTAGAAATTTCCACATACCATCCATACATTTATGGTGAATGCCCTTTCCTGCTCATCCAGACACATGCTGTAGGGCACTATTGCCTACACTTATCTCTATTATTACGTTTACTTCAACAACAGATAACACTCCTGATACGCCTCAATATACTTGCGGAACACTGCCAAACCATGACACAACCACTGATCACAAAAAAATCACCTGTGTAACAGAAACCACAGTGTGCCACCAGAAGAGCAAGATTGAGGCAGTTTTGTATAATTCCCTCTCCAGGCCCAGCAGGAGGAGAGTACTGCTAAACTGGGCCCAAAGCCAGCAGAGTTTGGACTCTGAACTTTCATTTTAAAATAAAATAAAAAAACAAGTCTTTAGCCTTTACGAACCAAGAGTTATGAAGCAAGACATGCAGACACCCCTCTTAACAACTGCTTTGTGAGCCATCAGCCTATTCCTGCTTTTCAGTGCTTCTAGCCAATTTTTGAAACAACAGATGTGACAGACAAGTGCTAGAGAAAAATATTAAGAGTCACACATCCACCAGGGAAGACCCTCAAAACCAGGAAGACCCTGGTTCATTTTGAAGCTGACTTTGGGTCTTCCTTCAGATGTGTGTGATTTTTTTTTTCTGGATTCAGATAACAGAAGAGAATGCATGGTTCATTCTTCTTTTCTTGTAGAGTTGTGATTGCTGCCCAGTGAAAACAACTGCTACTGCAAGGCAGAAGGTAGAAACAAGGACTTTATACTCTTGCATTCAGGTTTAAATATTTGCAAAACAATCATTGAGTGTACAAACATTTTAATTCCCTGCAATGAAAATAATATCGTTATTAGTATATCCATTTGGGGGGCAGAGGGAATAGAGTAACAGCTCTGAAGTGTAGCCCAACCCTGGCATGTTGGGGGGGGGTGTTTATTGGTTATACAGTGGTACCTCGGTTTAAAAACAGCCCTGTTTATGAACTATTCAGTTTACGAACTCCGCAAAAGTAGTGTCCTGATTTGCAAACTTTACTTCGGTCTAAGAACGGAAGCCGAATGGTGGAAGGGCACCGGCAATGGGAGGCCTCATTAGGGAAAGCATTCCTCGGTTTAAGAACGGTTTTGGTTTAAGAAAGGGCTTCCGGAATGGATTAAGTTTGTAAACTGAGATACAACTGTAGTAGCAACATGGAGACTGTTCCCACACTTATGAGGGGATAAAGAAATTCTCCAGGGGGAATGTTGCTGCTGATATAAATGCTAAAATGGGTATAGCTATGTAAAAGGTTCATGTCTTTCTTCATAACTCTTGGTGAGGGACAAAGTACAAGCTACATACAGTGCACTAGGCCAAGAAAATCCTGTTGACATTCCTGGTTCTGGCAATCCAGAAAAAGAGAAAGTAATAGCGTTACCACTGAACTATGCTACATGGTCTGTCTGTTTATTTTTCTTTACACAAATGTTTTATTTTAATATACATATGTCTGAACTCCCGTATTATGGAGAGGTAGCTTGACAATGAATAGTCAGCTATAGTGTATCAAAGAAACAACCTAAACAAAGCCTATCAGTTATGTCATGAAATCTCATGATTTTAAGAGCCCTACTTTTGCCCATTTGAAATTAGTAACTGCAATTACCTATCTACAAGATCCAGTGAGTACACAAAAGGCTTGAATTATTCAAAATGCCATAATTATGTCCTGAAATGAAAATGAGGGGGGAAAACTACCCAGAAATATGGCTTACATGGAAAAATTGCAGGAATTTTTTGAAGGCACATCCTGTACTTATGTTTTACCAATACAGTAGACCCTCAACTTGTGTGAGAGCTACGTTCCGGGGATTGTGCCTAAAGCCAAAATCACGCATAGTCAAAATCCATTGTGTTCAATGGTAGGTGGAATTACCAAAGTCATTTTCCCTGCCCCTTTTTAATTTTATTTTTTAATGTTTTGCCGCATGCATAAAGCTGAATATGCACAAATTAAATGCGTGCAAGTTGCAGGCTTACCGTAACAGTTGATATTTAATTAACCCTAGTAAGATTTCAATGTAGCTTAATGATTAATCATGTATCAGTGTAGTTCAATCAATTAGCATCAAAACAAAGAACTACCTCTCCAACTCTGATGAAAGAATCTAGTATCATGTCAGAAGTGCAACATTACAGGTTGGTCTCTACTCTACACTGTTGATACAAACTCAATGCATACCTCATCAGCCAGTATGAATACAATCATGTTAGCTGTGATCCTCTAGCTGCAATGCTCATTTCAATTTCTCATTATCAACTTTTCAGAATCAGTTTATAAACAGTGTTTTAAACTGCAGCCAACTATGTCTGACTGGGAGGCTACATTTTTCATCCTCCACACTAACACTATTGTATATCTTTCCCTGTTCTTTAGAATCAGAAAGGGAAACAAAAACCAGGAGATGTCTCCATGAGAGGTTGCTGCAACCCAACAGAGAGGACAGATCTGTGAGAAATCAAAATCTTGTAGTAACACTAGCCAGTCCCTACCAACTTCACTGTTAACAAGCCGAACCAATCCATAACAGCTTGAGTCTTCAGCTTCCCTAAACACCCGGAACATACTTAATATGAATGGATGCCAGGTTGCAGCCTCATCTGCATTTCTAGGCAACATGTTATGCACCCCAGCAATGTGTATCAATGAACATGCATATTTGGAACAGGATTTGAGTGAAAGTTGTCTTCATATACAATGGGGGGGGCGGTCCACCTAACCTAACCCAATGACAGAACGCTAACCATGTCCACTGAGAAGCAAGTCCTATTGAATTCATTTATGTGTACCCCAAGTTAAGAGGGGTTAGGATTATAGCCTTATTATCCTTTCGTACATGGCAAAAGGAAAAGCAGTGTAAACGTGGGTTTTCCCTACTCTTTCCATGCTTGTTTATACATTTTCTGTACACCAACCAGTATCATATTGTTGTTATATGTGCATTTGGAAGAGCTTCCTAACATACTAAAAGAGAACTGGGGTCCTCGCCATTCCACTATCTTTACACAAGCAGAGAATTAGCACTGTAATTCTAGCTGGCACGAAGTGACAGAGCCTCAGAACTGTGTGTGCACATGCACCCCAGTATTGTTTACAGGAGTGTAGGCTCTACTACTCCTGATTTTTTCCCTCCTAGCTGAGACTATAAGAAAGGTCTTTTTTAGGCAATCCTAAACCTAAATCATATTGGGGTCTAAATCCTACTGTACACAACGGAGCCTCCTGCATAGGACAGCCCTGCGGACCCAAGCTCACCGCCTGCTTATTTATCAGCGGACTCCGTTCCAGGCGACGGATCTGCACGTGTGAAAAAGCCGCTGCCTTTCCGGCGCACCGCGCACGACTTTGCACACCCACCCGGGGCAAGGCAGAGACGTGCCTGGAAGGCGGGACGTCCTAGTAAGTACATGCCGCGGCGCAACCCTGGGCACGTCTGCTCGGAAGCAAAACCCTCGGAGGGGGAAAGCGTGCGCGCAGCTGCCACCTTCGCGGGCCTCAACCGAGGCAAAAATAAAAAATAAAAAGCGAAAGTGCCGACGTGTAGCTCGGTGTGAAGTTACTCGGGATTTAATCGGAATGAAATCGGGTGGTCCCGAAGCCAGAAGGCCTAGCGCCGCGAAGCGCCCGGCCCCTTCCCCACGTGCACCTCCAGGCCCGTGGCCGCCTCCCTGTTCCGATGCTATGGGCCCCGATCCCGTGCTTCCCTCCCCTTGAGAGGAGACCCTGTTCGTCAGCCAGCGCCTGAGAGGCTCCCGCCGCCTGAGACCCTCCTGCCCCGCCGCCTCTGACCCGCCGCCCCGCTAAGCTGGGCTCGCCCTCGCCCGCCCACCGGCTCCCCAGCCCTGACTCACCGCCGCGGCCGGAGCAGGGGGAAGCCGGCGAAGGGATCTGCGCGTGTGCCGAGGGTCGCCTCGGCCGGCCGCGCTGTGTAGCTCCAGCTTCGGGGGGCGGGCCCAACCCCCTCGGAGCCAATGAGCGGCGCCCAGGCCTCGGAGATGCCCCGCCACCGCCTCCTTTCTCTCTCGCTCGCTCGCCGATCCCTCCCTCCCTTCCTTCCGCTCCGAGCTGGCGCACCTCACAATCGCCACCGCCGCCGAGGAGCATCCTCATTCCATATGCCTCGGCGGAGGATCCTCATTGGCTGGCGAGGGGTGGCGCGCGAGGGGCTGGCGCTGCCGCGTTCTAAAACGGCTGTGTCTGCGAGGAGGGTTGCGCGAGGGAGCTGCGCGAAGGGTTACTATCGGTCACCGCCGGGCCTGGGGTTACGGGAGCCGCTGGCGGGCCGCTGGTGAATGACACAGGAGACCCATTAACAGCTGCTGCTGGGGGAAAGTAGGCTCCAAGTGCAATATTATATATATCTTGTCTTTGCATTGCAAATAAACACGACACTCTCGTGGGCTTATCGGCTCTTGCATTAGTAGTAGTAGCAGCAGCAGCGTTACAGTACTTTCGTCATCGTCATGTGTTGCTCCTGATCCAATGTGATGATACAAGTGTCGTGCATGTTCCAGTCAGAAAATATCATGCACACAGCATTGCAGCCTGATATGTATACGGGGGAGAGAGAGGGAGGGAGAAATCACCCAATTCTTCTGATTGCTAATTACTTTTAATGCTGTTATTCTGTATCGTTGCAACCCTTCCCGGCACCTCGCGGTGAAAGGCCGGTAGGAAATGGAATAAATACAATTAATGGTTCGTGTGTAGTTTAGCATACGGATCAATGAGGCTTGCCTGCTCGACTCCTGCCATTTAATTCTACCATCTAAGCAAGTTATTATTTATTACATAACGATGTAATCCCCACATGTTCTTTCTCAACCACTATTGAGACTGCAGGAAAACCATGAATGGAACACAGAAAACTCGGCTTCAGCGTTTTTGCTGATTTGAAGGAAGGAATCCATTTTAAATTGGGGGGGGGGTTCCCCTCACACTTGACATTTATTTAAGATGTTTCATATTATCATAGCTGTCAACTTTCAGATTTGAAAATAAGGGATCAGCAGCCTCACCTGTCCTGGGGACAGTCTACGGGATATCTAACAATCCGGGATAGCAGCGGGAAACGGCGCTGGAATAAGGGAATTTCCTGCAAAAAAAGGGAAGGTTGACAGCTATGCATATTATAGCAAGTATGGTTGCTACTAACTGCATCAGGAAGAAGGCAACACAATCTTGCATATGTTTACATAGCGGTTCACGCCATTGATTTAAAATGGAAATTACAACACCCTTTCGATTCACTTATCTGCACTTGGCAATGAGCTCTGTACCTTTGAACATGCTCTGATTCCTGGTGAGTGTACCAGGGATGTTAGCCTTAGGGCAGGTGATTATTTCCTACTGATGTCACACAGAATTGCTCTATAGGTGCGGCAAATGTGATCCCCACAACACTCTGCTACTTCATACAGCAGTGGGGAGGAGAAGGACAGCGTAGATACCACAATCTACAATGGAGGATGTTGCACTGACTGCCATCCACAACATCCTTTCTCTTTTCTAAGGTCTTTCCCCCACGCTTTCAGTTTAGTGCTAAAGTCCTGAGCAAAGCTGTACAGGAAGCAGCTGTTGTCTGAGTCTCTAATCTGCTCACTATGAGAAGCTCCACACATCAGTCATGTTTGCTATATTACACTAGTTTTCTGGGGCAAATGTACAACGTGTGAGCAACAGGTGCACACCCACAAGTGTCAGCTGACGTGGGGCTGAGAGCCCTGGTTGTACTAAACCCTCCATCCCAAGCACATGAACATTTAAGAGCATGTACCTGGCAGTTTAAGCATGGGTAGTACCATTGTACCTTTGACAAACAACTCACATAAAGCATGGAGCCACTTTTAATGGTTAAGAACATAAGGAAAACCTACTGGATCAAGCCAGTGGCCTGTTTAGTCCAGCGTCCTGTTCTCACAATGGCCACCAGATGCCTGCAGGCAAGACCCAAGCTCAGGAGCACTTCCCCTCTTGGCTATTGATACTGATTTTGCAGATTTCCAAGGATTTATAGGAGTTTCCTTCTAATGGCCTGCATCCTCTTCTGACTTCCTTTCATTATGCCTGTTAAGTAAACTTGGATGGTTTTAAATGGGGTTTAGACAAATTCCATTGTCAGAGGCATCGCCATGTCCTCCTTGAGGGGCTCCCCATAGAAATCTGGTTGGCTACCGTGAGAACAAGCTGCCAGACTAGATGGGCCCCTGATCTTATTCAACTCTTTAGAACTTTTCACTGATTTTTGTATTGTATATTTATATTGCTATAACCCATCCTGGGACCTTGGGATGAAAGGTGGGTGAGCAATTCAGTTAGTAGCAACTTAAGTAAGTGCACGTGTTTGTTATATCACTAATCATTATGGCAATGTAACTATAAAACAAATATGTACAGTTACTTAAGAACATGTATGATGATAATAATAATCTTTGTCATAGACCCCAGAATGGGTTGCAACAACATAATGCATTCAGTGCATCAATGCATGGTTAAATTACCTCATAACACCTAGGATATCAATCACCCCCCTTGAATTTAAGAGATTTGTGCCTTTTGGAAGAATAATTCTAATGCATGCAACCATGAATTGTTGATAACAATGACCATTCACTGTGGGTAACCAATGGCCAGAGCTTTGCGCCTGAGAAATAACATGTGATCCATGAGGTGGAGAATGTCCCCTTGACCTCCTTAGAGGGCACCTTGGTCTTGACCAGGAGTCACTGGAACTAAGCTGCTTCTGTTCTCCCATCTAATTTTAGAAGCCCTTCCTACTGTCTCTTTAAAGAGGTGGCCAGTTGGGGTAAAGGGAAGAGTGGGGCAAGGTAGAGACTGTGGAGGGAGCAGCAGCCCAAAGGGCTGTTAATTTGTAACAGCCAAGGTAAGATCAGCAGACAGGGTAAAGTCAACAGATAGCATAGAATGAGCAGACAAGATAAAAGTCAGCAGGTCAAGTAAGTCTTAGTGGCCAATCTGCTGGTTGAGGCAACCATTAATCATCATTGCCCCTTTGTCAATGGTTTATTTACATGGCCCCAGTTACAAAGGACAAGTCCTCAAGAGGCTGGTTTCTCTGATGACCTGACCCAGTAGAAAGAGGAGGATGTGCCATTGCAAATGGCTATTGAGCATTAGAAACAGGAGAATGCTAGCAGTGAGCTAAAGAGACAAAATATAAGACCGAAAAGTGTGGTGCTGCATAATGTTCAGAATGTTGGTCTAGGACTAAGAAGACCCAGATTAAAGTCATCACGCCACTGTGAAGCTCACTGAGTGACTGTGGGCCAGTCACTCCCTACTACCTCAGACAGTTGTTGCATAGATAAAATTGGGGGACCGGGGGGAGGATGTATGCCATCATTAGCCCCTTGACAGAAGGACGGAATATAAATACAATAACTGAAATAATAACCAGCATTTAAGAAAAATTGCAGTGGATAATTATTAATCTTTTCAAGCTTTAAGGTGAACAGTCTGTGTCCAAGATTAGCCTGTATTGTCAACTCCATTCATTCAGATAAACCAACCACGATAAACATGTATGGGGAAATTACTTACTCCTCCATACAGATACACACACACTCGGCCACCATAGTTTCAAATTCTGGGAACAGGAACAATCTCTATATCATTTCCACACATTTATAAAAATAAAACAAGCCTTTTATGGGGCACAAAACTCTTACATTGTTTATGATAGTTAACTCTACTGTTCATGCCCACTTTCCTTCCTCACAATGACTGGTCTAAAATCTGTGCCTGATTTGGTGCAAATAAAATGCTTGGGGCAGCTTCTAAACCACAAGAATCATGAGATCATCCCTTTTTGGGGTTAACCAGAAATGTTTTACTAGTCTACATGAATATGGGTTACAATGATGGGCAGCTTTCTGGAACAAGATACCAGTGTGAGCATCAACCATCCTAATCTTTTAAATGTGTGACAAGTCTCACAAGATCTCAGACCTGGTGTGAGAAGAATGTTGGCTTAAGTGCATCAGCCTCTTGCCTGAGTTCAGAGCAGATAACTAAGTTACAAGAAGTCCATTTCTTCACTTCTATTGTACTCAGTTACCTGTCCTTTGCTTGAGCTCAACAATAACAAGTGAAGAACCAGCAGGGATGCAAGGCAGGAAATTGAAATGGAGGATGGGCAGATCTGGAATGGTCTGGAGGGTATGAAATACAGCAAGAACTTTCTCCCATCTAAGCACAACCTACTCTGCTTATCAGACTGGTTTTACCTAGTTTTGTGGTTATATATGTACAGTTATTAAGCCACCCCAAAACTGCTGGTTCAAATGATGGGTGAACTCAGCAGTGATACATCAGAAGAGGCTGAATGGCATCTTGTCAAGAGATTCTCCTATGACCTGACCCAGCAGAGAAGGGGAGGTGCCATTATAAATCTCTAGGTCACTGCCAAATTTGTGATAGCAGAAAGGCATACACATCTATCAGTGTCTACTTCTTCAAGTTTCTGATTACTTTTCCTACCATAAGGGAATTGCCAAGATATCTAAATATGGAGGATTAACAGTGCATGGGTGAAAAAGACTAAGCTTTTCTCCCTCCCTTCCACCCACCCTTCCTCTTTGTGGCCAAAGCCTTGATTATCAAGAACCAAACTATCGGTGAGGGAGGAAATGCCCTGTGTACTCTAAGCTGAACATTGATCTCAGTGTTAAAAACTGAGCCAGCAGGATGGAGCTGAACACACTTGAACTTTACTCTGCTAGAAACCTTTGTCCAACTTTTTGTATCTCAGGGACATATTCCAAATGAAATGCCACCCCCTTGCACTTTAACTTGGTAATCTAAGAGCCAAAGTGCACATCATGCTCAGCTGTATTAATGTTCTCCCAGAGGGGGGCAGAGGTTGAAATCAGACTTGGAAATTCACGTGGAAGAGAGAGATTTACCTCCCACCACCACCCATGGGCTATTTTTCTTACTATAAAACTAAGTTGTGGCAGTGAAAGAGATGGGAAGCATCTGCTGAAAGAACTAGCTTCTCTAACTGTTCAATTTCAGCTGGTCATTATAAGAACTGCTATTTAACTTTTAATGGCTCTCCACTAGACAACCTGTTTATTTGAACATTCATCCTAGTTGGCTAGCACAAAATTTATTTGGAGGTTAAGCTATGTCCACCCTTTACTGAGCATTTGTACAGATTTGTTTGCGGAGAGGTTATACGCGGGTGGTGCTGTGGTCTAAACCACTGAGCC